TATTATAATGTGCATAAGTGTGCATGAGGTGAGGCTTTGGGATATTTTGGTGAGGTGGCGATCCTTAAACCAGAACCAGGAGCTACAGGTCACATCACACTGGACTTTAAGAATGATTTCAAGATCTTATCAATTACTTCTAAAGCTGTCCATGACCTGTCTCAGATTATATTTTCAACCTTTAAATTGCGAGTGAACCTTTGGGTAGCCCGAGGAAATTAGGCCACGTTCCCCCTTCAGGCCTTAACGCTCAGATCTGATTTATTTTTTTTGACAGTTCACATTTAAATGTGGCCCATTTGAGACTCCATTGTGAACTGACCATGGCCTGTAAGGACGCAAACACGCGTTATTCTTTTTCCTGCCAGAGTTTCGACACCTCTGCCTCTGATTGGTTAGTACTCGTTGCCTCCGTTGGGTTAGGGTCTGTTAGGTATAGCCAATCAGAGGCAGAGTAGGGGGCAGGAACACTTTGTAATTGGCTTTATTTCCAGAATACTTCAGTAAAGTTAAAGATCTGCCATGTTATGAAGTTGTTAGTAACTGACTTTTTATGTACTTTGTTTAAAAACATAAGCAGAATGTTAGAAGCTCAGGTGTACCTAACAATCAACAAGTTGCTAAAGTTACAGACTGGTGCACGCTTTGGGGTCATTTTACAATCAGTAGCTTTTCTGAAGTTAAATAAATAAGGTCAAATTAAACTTTCTCAAAGCATTTTCATTTGTTATTTAACATTTCTTGTTGCAAGCTATTCAGAACACTTTTAACAAACACTTTCAAAAAGTGGTGGACACGTCCTCAGCGTCCCCAGTGTAAGCCGACACGATTTTAACCTGTTGACGTTAAACTACGTTACATGTAGCTACTGTGCTGCCTGCCACTGCTCTCCATAAATGAACAAGTAGCTTAACTAACATCATTGATTAATAAGGGCAAAGTTATAAAAACTGGCAACATTACTGTATCTGACAGGACAGTTATTATTGTAAGCTAGCTCGTTCGTCAGTAACGTGTTCAGCTGTTAGACTCCGCAATGCAGCGGATTTAAATATATCCTGCCCTACCCTGCCTCTGATTGGCTGTCAGGTTTAGCCATCGAATCTGCACAAATCACACAGGTGAGCCATTTTTGTTTTAAAACGGCAAATTTTGCCAAAACCTGATGAGTTTGCGTGCCTGGATAAAGTGGCTACTGAGTGTAAACTAAAGTACAAGTGTTGGTCGTGAACAGATTGAACACACTGAGCTCCACTGTTTTTTTTTCAGCTATTTATTTTCAGTACTCAGCAGTAAGGGTTATAGTATATGGACAAGTTTTTCTGTTAAGAAATGAATTATCAAAACATAGTTTATAAAAGTGTATAGTAAGCATTACATATATATGCATGGGAACAAAAGAGTTAGAACTTAAAAACAAAAAAGAAAGGGGGTTATAGTTGATCCAAACCAAATCTTTTTTCTTCTTCTCTCTAAAATCTACTTGAAATGCAGGAGGGGAAAGTGTCCACTCAGACAACCAAAGTCAAACATGGTGGAGGAGGAAAATGCAAGAAATAAAAATAGAGAATGTACAGTTATTATTTCTGTGTTCTAGATCAAGATCACATCGACTCCTACAGCACTTGACGGTCACTGCACGGCTTTGACTTTTTGTCTTTTTTTTCTTTTTTAAAACTAGCACCAGTGCTCCTGAAAACGCTGACAAACTGTGTTTTTTCTTTTTAAACACACACAGAGAGGCTTCCAAATAGTCATAAAACGCAATTAAATATGAGGAGAAAACAAAAAACACCAATAAATACAAGAGGTTACCATAAAGGTGTAACATAAAAAAAAAAGTTTCAAATGATGAGGACACTCCAAATAAAAGAGGAGAATCGCCGAGTCGTCCCTTTTCAATGTGAGTTCGGAGAGGGAGGGGAGGAGGGGGCATCAGTCAAACTTGGCGGAGAGATAAATATGGAAGAGAGGGATGATGGGAAGGCTCGACTGAGAAAGACCGTCACAAATATCACTTGGTAAAAGGCAAGAAAAACACTTTCCATCGTGCGGGTACAGTTCCTTACATCTTCACACAGAGTCTCAGTGGAGCCGAAAGTTCAGAGTCCATCATCTCCAGAGAACAGGGGGGATTGTGGGTAGAGGAGGGGGTGTTACATCAACACAGCTCTAAACTCACACATCCTAAAGACTAGCGCCGTCCATTACAAGTGTTAATAATATAAATAAATGCATTACTACAATGATCTGTCGTCTTTTTTCCTTCTTATAAAAGAGGTACTGTAGATAATACAGTCAGAATACGAGTACAATACAGGATCAAACTAAACAGAGTCGGCTCAATATACATCTTCCGTTACTCGGTGTGGTTTTTAGTTTTTAAATGCGGTTCCTTTATCTCAGCCACATTCAGCTGGTAGTTCAGTCGTACAGTGAACCTGTGAGACAGAGATCAGGGAGCTTCGCCGCATGTTGACACACAGATTCACAGACAGCAGGCGCGATCGGGTTTATTACGAATATCAGCTGATAGTAACGATCACACTCATTTCTGCACTGCAACGCGGCCCGCTCACTAAATATCCGTCCCTGTTCTTTTAAATAATCTCCATAAATCCTGTATCGTCCGTTAACCCGCTGATGGCGTTCATTCTGATTCTCGTGTGAAACTAAAGCAAAGACTTAAAGGTGGAGTAAGCGAGTCAAATCCAAAACACGTCTTGTTGTCAAATTCATCGAGTATCTCCTCACGGCCCGCTAGCTCTCCGTTCTGTGCCGTGTCTGCACTCTGCGTCAAATCTACACCGAAGCCTACGCGTAGCGTCGTAGCCTGACCTGCACCTCGCCACAAAATTAACTACACGTCTCGGCGACACGGACCGCAACAACTGTAATTTGTCGGCTTGGTAGCTTTTTGCATTTCCCCTTCCCAGAGGAAGCTCCCGGTGCTTTGAAGCTTATTGTACTAGCGTTCAAACAAGCGGCTCGAACACGGAGGGTCAACTTTTTTGAGCGTCACAACCCCCGTGACTCATTTCACTGTCAGAGTTTGGTCCATAACATTTGGAAGCTCGATGAGCCACACAATTATTATTTATTTTACCCCCATTCAAGTTAGCGGAGGGCTAAACCGGAAGATAGCCGACTCGGCCGGCAGAAGTCGACACAGTGGACGCTCTTACGCAACTGCCAACTAGTGTTTTGGCGGTGTACTAGCAGAACGACACGCACACCATCACAGATGTGTAAACGTGTGTAGCCTACGCGGTACGCTGCGGCGTAGACTCGACGCAGAATCGGGCTCTGGGTCACCTCACGCTCTGCGAGTCCCCGAGCATGTTTAACCCTCACAGTCCAGTTCATTTAACTAGTGTGACCGCTCCGTACTGCGCCCGGGCACGGTGCACTGAACTGGCCTAAGGAGGTGGGCTCGAGCGTGGTTAAGTTGGACTCCGGTTAAGTTGGACTCCGGCACGGTATGCATCTAGTGTGATCGCTAACCGTGCCCCGAGCATGGGACTCGACGTGAACTTCACGGTGCTTTGCGAGAGCGCGCGCTTTTTCCAGCAAGTCATGTGTGCTCGGGGACGGTGTAAGACAACTGAACCTTAGCTAACGATAGCTACATAACTCGCTGTGTAGTTGTTTGCTCTGTATCGTGGTGCTGGATTTCTCCAGAATTGCTTAACCTCACCTTTAAGGAGCAAAGCTCATTCCCGGCCTGAGTGACAGAAGTTTAGCAAAATGATCCACGTACCGTCTTTCCTACGACAGACGGCGATCGCAACACGCTAAGCTCGCCTGAAGCTTCAGGGTAATGAAAGACTGCTGCTGCTGCTGAATCTGTGTGTGAACAAGGCGTCAGGAGGTGGTCTGTCTGGGAAGCTACAAGAATATAAAGCTCATCTTAGTGCTGCACAACACACACACACACACACACACACACACACAAAACACACACACATTTAAACCAGACCCTCAGAGACTGAAGCGTCCCGTCTTCAAGCCTAAAAACTCCCAGAAGTCATTGCTGTCTCCCGTCAAAGCATTTAGGTGCAAAAAAAGTAAAATGAAACCAAAGCTGTCCGTCTTCACCAGCTGCACCTACACGTTGGTCACACATAAAAACAACTTTGTTTAATCCGACTCGGTCAGAATATGGTTTAAAAACACTGTGACAAAGGCCACAAGAAGATTTTAGCAAGACAAAACTCCCTATAAACATCATCAGAACGGGGGGGGGGGGGGGGGGGGGTGGAAAACAGGGAACCAACTGCAACTCAGAACCAGCTTCCGGGATTGAAATGGACAAGATGGCTCCTTACTCAAGAACAAGCATCCGACTCCCTCACACCCTCACAGCAGCTCTGCCTGCCAATCAAGTCACTACCGCAGGACTCGTCGAGTCTTTACGAGCTGGGCTCAGTCACCGCAGCTGCGGGGGGCACCGGCGGTCCGGAACCAGAACGGTTCAAAAACCTAACCTTCACAGGGCAACATGCAGCAGGGGGGTAAGGCAGGTGTAGTGAAGTCCATGCAGTTTATAAAAAACTACATCATGTCTGTGTTCAGTCCATGTCTGCCTGCCCGTCAGTCAGTCTGTGTGGGACAGGTCTACAACCAGCGCCTTGTGGGAACGTCCGTGAAGGAAGCCTCAGCTCAGGTAAGGAAAGGTGTGCGAGCAACGAAGTGTGTGAGAACGTCCTCCATTTTTAGTCTGTGTGTGTGTGTGTGTGTGTGTGTGCGTGCGTGCGTGCAGCGTCCATTTTGCTTCCTCCCTCCTGCTCCGCGTGTATGTCGTGTCATGCAGGTCCTGGACTGAGTCTAAGCACCCTGTCCTTCACACACACTACAGCCACACATGGAAAATGAGGAAGAAGAGGGTGAGCAGGAGGAAGAGCTACGTTTTGGCACCTCCAGAAACCTTGGCATGTGACTGACCCCCCCCGCCCCCCTCCCTCATCCCTTAGCTTATATGAAGGGGCCGCCGGGCATACCCAGGAAGTTGGGCGCACCCATGGCCATGGGAGGGGGCGCCGTCGAGTTGCTCCAGTGCACCTTCATGTGGTGCCTCAGGTTGGACTTGGAGGAGAAGCGCTTGTCACACTGCTGGCAGGAGAACGGTTTCTCCTTGGTGTGGATGCGGCGGTGGCAGATGAGTTGGGTGGACACCCGGAACGACTTGCCGCAGTCGGGGCACTGGTAGCGTTTGGGCTCGGTGTGGATCCGTCTGTGGTTCTTGAGGGACATCAGGTTGGGGAACTCCTTCTGGCAGGAATTGCAGAAGTAGGTCCCGGTCTTGTGGCTGTTCTTGTGGTTGAGCAGGGAGCTGGCGTGGCGGTAAGACCGCCCACACTGGTCACAGACGTGGGACTTGATAACCTCAGTGCTGCCCCCACGGCTGCGGGCTTTGGTCATGCTGCTGGGGTCGAGTCCTTGCTCTTGCATCAAGGTGAGGTCTAGGCCTGACCCCCAGCCCAGCTCCTGGGAGCCCCCCGGTCGGGGCTGCTGGGGTCTGGGCTGGCGGGGCTGCGGCGCCTGGCCATGGGTGATCTCCATGTGGAGCCTGAAGCTGGCATGCGTAGGAAAGGCTCGTTGGCAGGACCTGCAGGTCAGTTCCCGTTGCTTCTGGTGGACGCGTCGGTGGTTGTAGAGCTGGGAGGAAACACGGAAGGCCTTGCCGCAGTCGTGGCAACGGTGGCGCCGTGTCTCAGAGTGGATACGGCGGTGGTTCTTCAGGGCGAGCAGGTTGGAGTAGGTCTTGAGGCACACGGCGCAGTGGTAGATGCCGACAGTGTGGGTGTTCTTGTGGTTGAGGAGGGAGCTGGCATGGCGGTAGGAGCGGCCACACTGATCACATCTGTGCAGAGGAAAACAAAGAAATACAAGGGGGGAGGAACCGGGTGATGGGAGGGGGGATAGAATAAAAGAAAAAGGGAGATTAGTAACGGAATATGGAAGCGTGTTTCCGTTGTTCTAGCCAAGTTGATCTCAGTTACTGGTGACCACTTTTCCTAAGAATGATTGAAATATTTTAACTACTCATCATCTAAATACGTTGCACATACAGGTATATGATCTGAAATCCGGCTTAAAGCTTTTAAAGAAGACTACTACAAAGTGGTGTACCATTTAAAGTTATGCTTTCTAGACAGGTAACAGGGGAGAGGACTGCTGGGTGGAAGAGGAATGGGAGAAACTATGGACCAACAACTGGGATTCATGTAGGGAACTGGGAGGTATCTGCCGCTCCCTGCACTGCACAAATGGACACAAGCTTCAAACAGCTTCTTTCATATCTGAAAACGATTTCAAGTCAAAGACCTTCTGTCAAAGCCTTCTTTTGGGTGATTACTGAATTCTGAATGTAGTGATGAGAAAGCCATCAAACACGCCCAAAGAACTTCCACCATGCCAGACTGTGCTGTAGGAAAGAATCCGTAAACTGTTAGGAATAATAACCTCTGGACATGTGCAGTGCAGCTAGCTCCAAATACTTCCTAGTCTTCCCTGTGATTTCAGTTTGCCAAGACATCATTATGCAAGAGACCCATCACATAACTGCATGTTCTAGTCTAAAAACTGGCCAGTATCATGATCATGACTACCTGAAACAAACAAACAAATCAAAGACTACAATAAAAATCATAACAGCAAGGAACACACAACATCAATACTTTAAATTTTGCTAATATGCTACAATCAAAATACTTAAATCTGTGTCAAAGTTTGCTAAGAAAACAAAACATGAACACAATACATCTAAACATGAAATGTTTGACTGTAGGTAGCCTAAAAAGACTAAAGTGTGTGATATATGCTAACTGAAAGCAAACAGGGTTGACTTATCTGGTCTCTCCACTAATTCAATTTGTCCAAACTTCAGAAAAATCCGAATTCCGGCACGCGTATGGTCCCAAGGAAGCCGGATTGGAGATCATATACCTGTAATAGACATGTAGAGACCTAAATTTATCTTCACTATTTTTTTTCAACTTCGAAGAATCACAAACAACTGACGAGAACTCACGTGTACCGACACTCTTCGCCCTCTCCCGGGGGTGCAGCGGCCTTCCTCCTGACTTCCATGCCTACCTGGTTGTCCCCGCAGCGGTGCCTGGCCAGACCGGATCTCCCCTGGAAACTCTTCCCACAGGTGGGGCAGCCGAAGGGGGTAGCACCCTCCTCGTGGACCTTCTGGTGGTTGCGAAGGAACCTGGCCAGCCGGAAGGCTTTCCCACATGTGTGGCAGATGTGCTTCTTCCGCTGCGTGTGAATGCGCATGTGGTTTCGTAGCGCCATGTAATTGGTGTAGGGCTTGTCGCAGAAGTTGCACCGGAAGTTGCCCGTCTTGTGGGTGTGCTTGTGGTTCAGCAAGGAGCTCGCGTGTTTGTAGGCGCAGCTGCACAGGTCACAGGCGTAGGGTCTCTCGTCCGAGTCCAGGTCCACGGAGCTTCTCTCCATGCTGATGTTGGTGGAGCTGTTGGTGGAGGAGGACGAAGGCAGGTGCTGGGCTGGGCAGTCGTGGGCTGCGAGCTCATCAGCTGTGGCAAAGCCTTCACAGCAGCCATCACACTCAAAATCCATCTGGGCACCGGGGCCCTGCGGGCCTTTGCACAGGCCAGCTGTAGTGTGGGTAGCTAGCTGCCTCTGGGTGCGGAAGCCCTTGCCGCACTCTTGGCAGTTGTGCTTTTTCTGGGCAAAATGGAGGCGCAGGTGGTTTTTCATTGCCAGCCTGTTGGGGTATGTGGAGTTGCAAACGTTGCAGTGGTACTCCCCAATTTTGTGAAGGTTTTTGTGATTAGCCAGGCTGCCTGCATGGCGGTATGTCTTTCCACATTCTTCACATGAAAAAGGCCGCCGTCCAGTTTCAGCTGGGTCAAACTTCTGGGGCCTGGACGTTCCAGCTGAAGAGTAGGGCTTTTTGAATCCTTGGTGGCTGTATTTCACGCCCATTACCTGGCCCTTTGACGACTCCCCTCTCATAGTCTGCATTTGAGATGGGCCAGGCTGCTGGAAGCGGGAACCGTTGGGGCCGGTCCGAACAAGACCTTTGGCCCGGTGCTCCTCGTGGAGACGGAGGTGGTTGATCAGCTGCTTTTGGATCTTGAAAGCCTTGCCGCATTCCTCACACTTGTGCCTGCGGCAGAAATGGGCAGAGATGAAGAAAAACAATAGAATCTCAGTAAATACACAAAATCAATAAACCAATCTCAAGGCAGGTGTGGTATTAAACATGGGCCTTTGATGAGGCTGTTATTTTATGCATTATGGGCCAGACGTCAAACTCCGAATAAGGTTGGCAGTCCCAGTACAATGTTATTATGTTGAAGTGCAACATATTTGGCAGAAAATTGATCGAAAATTGATTGTCTACCCTGGCAAACATTCTGCAGAAATAATACTAAAGCTTGTGAGCCTCCACATCAGGCTCAGAAATAACAAATCAACTATAAGAACAATGGAATGTTGATTTTGACGAAATCTAGACTTATTTCACTGAACATAAATATAACCAAAACATGTATGTCTGACATTTCATCATAAATGACATTTCATATCAATATAAAGTTTACCACCCGAGCTAAATGGAAACTGGTGCAGCAGTTGTGTTTTGTAACGGTAGCAAATGTTTATCAAAATGTTTGGTGTCAGCCACGTTTTTATCCTTAGACCAAACTTGAGTCAGAATTATTTTTAAATGTGTGTAAAATGTAGGATTATTTTCTACATCTTTACATCTGCCCAAATAAAAGAAAAAAAGAACTAAAGAAATATGGACAGAATCTGGGACCTACCTCTTTAGATCAAAGTGGGTCCTTTGGTGATTCTTGAGAGCCAGTAGATTGTAGTAGCGTTTCTGGCACACCAAGCAGCGGAAAACCCCAGTCTTGTGGGACTTCTTGTGGTTAAGGAGTGAGCAGGGGTGTCTGTATCCACGTCCACATTGGTCACACTTGTGGGGCTTGTCACTTTGGTCAACCATAGGCCTACGTCCATCGCCACCAACGTCACGGCTTCCTCCAGCAACCCCGCCGCCGACGCCATCGCCTCCAGACATCCCTTTGGCTCCGTTCATGCCCTGTTTGCTCAGTGAGCTGGCCCGATTTTTTCCAGGGCACAGGTGAGTTATCAGGTGGTGGCGGTCAGCAAAAAACATGCCACAGTCAACACAAATGTGGTTGCGTCCATCCATCTTGTCATTGCCATTAGCTGAGCTGCTTCCAATAGCCTGTTGCTGGCTGTCCGGCCTTTGGGGGCCATGGACTAACTGGTGATTCAAGAGGTCCTGCTTCCTGGCGAAGCTCTGACCACAGGTGGAGCAGATCATCCTCCACTCCTGCTCTAGGTTGGAAGGTCCTGCCCCTGTTGGGTTATTGGCATGGCTACGCAGGTGGCTCCTGAGGGCTCTGAGGCTAGCGTAGTGGTTGCCACACACCGAGCACTGATAGACTTCTCCATCATCATCGTCATCTTTATCATTGCTCCCCATTCTCTTGCCTCCACTCTGGGAGTATTGCCGTTGGCTGCTGCCTTCTTTCAGGCTGCTGGAACTCCCAGCAGGCAAGGCAGTTCCACCACTGGAGCCGTGGTAGTTCATGTTCCCCATAAAACCGTTAGACATGTTGCTCTGCTGCGGCTGCTGGCCACGGCGGGGACACATGTGCGACTTGATGCCAGATACGTCTCCATACATCTCACCGCAGTCGGCACACACATGTCTATCGGCCTGACGGTGAGCAGAGTTGCTCTGGGAAAGTGAGCTGCCATCAAAGCGATCGTGGAACTCAAGAGAGTCCAACCCACTGCTGTGGCCACCATCTGGCACAAAGTGGGCAGCATCACCAAGGTTTCCTGGCAAAGAGATTGGAGTGGTGGCACCGCTGCCTTCCTGGACATAGCTCTGCTGGGAGTCCAGAGTTAGCGGCTCTGGAGATAGCCAGTCATTGCTGTCGTTACCAATAGGCTGGTTTGAGGGACGCCCCTTGTGACTTCGTAGGTGGCTATGTAGTGCTGCCAAGTGAGGGTACTGCTTACAGCAGATAGTGCACTGGTAGTGGCCTGTCTGATGGCAGCGTTTGTGGTTGACCAGGCTTCCTGCATGCCGGTAGCTCTTGCCACACTCCCCACACTTAAAGCGGCGCTCACCATCATCTGGAGAATTGGCCTGAGGCACACGGCCTCCAGAGGGAGAAGACACAGAGCCCTGTGATCCAGAGCTTAGTGTGTCGGAGTTGAGGATGGAGCTGTCCTGGCCATGGGAGCCAGGGTGGGGGTCATGAGTCAGATAGTGGACTTTCAAGGTGTCCAGATCTGGGTGTCCTGCTCCACAGTATGCACATGTATAGATGGGATTGTTGACTGGAGGACCCATTATGGGGTCATAGGGACCTCTTTTGTCACTGGGCAGAGGTGGGAGAGGCAGAGGGTCCCCCAGGGCAGGGGTGTAAGCCGGGGATCGAACCGCACTCAGATTGTGCGGCATGATGCCTGGGAAACTGCGTGGGAGTCCGAGGGAAGGCGAAGCCGAGTTGTGAAGCAGGATGTGCTCCTGAAAGTCTGTTTTATTCGGCAGCGCTACCTGGCACAGGTGGCAGAAACAGGAAGCAGTGTCGTCGCCCTGGGATGACTGGGTGCCACTGCTGCGCTCCGAGTCGTGGAGGCTGCTGCTGCTACTGCTGCTGCTCACCATGGATGCCCCGGGGGTCTTGAACTTCGAGTGAGTTCTCTCGTGGCTGTTTAGGGCAGCCAGGTTGCTAAATTGTTTAAAACACACAGAGCACTTGAAAGTTCCTTGCTGGTGACACTTCTTGTGGTTCACCAAGCTACCGTGGTGCCGGTAGGTTCTGTCACACTGATCACACTTGAATGGTCTGTCCCAAGCGTCGTCGGACTCCGGGGAGCCTTTTTTTCCGTGGTCGTCTGTCTCGTGGCCTTGTAGGACACTATGTCCCATACCACTATTGTTCAAATGTGAGCGCCCAAACCCGTCTGAGAGGTCTTGGGCGAGGCCGTAGTCCCTCTCGTCGTGGCCTGCTTCTTCAGGTACTTCTTCGCTTTCTTCTTCTGTGTGCGCACTACTGGGGGACAGTGTATGGATACGTAAGTGGTTCTTCAAAGCTACTGCGTTGGGGAGGGTCCGGGTACAAACAGGACACTGGAATGAACCCACTTCGTGAGATTTTTTATGATTAGCTAGGCTAGCTGCGTGCTTGTAAATTCGGCCACACTGTTCACACTCAAAACGTCCGGTCTCTTCTTGCTGATAATGTGCTTTCATATGCTCTAGAAGACTTGGAGTACTCGGGCAAACCATATCACACTCTTTACAGGGGAAACCCTTGGCACGACTCATATCATGCATTGCCATAGTACTCTAAAGCAAATCGGTTGGCGGGAATCACGGTTCACAACGAAGCAATGAACAGTGACGTTAGGGAAGTGGAGGAGGAAACAGTAGGCCTTAGCTCTTCAGCTGGGGGTGGCGGTGGCGGCCATTTTCTCCCCAATAGCCGTCAGTGTAGTTCCAGCCAATCTGGGCCCACCTGGGAGGTGGCGGGCCTGCGGGGGTCACACCAGCCAATGAGGTATCACTGTGGAGGACAAGAAAAAGAAACAAGAGGGTTACTTAAAGAGCAAATTCAAAGCCCTGTTTTAGCTTCAGCACGCCACTTAAATAAAATCGCACAGAGTTAAACAGTATTTGTTTTTGTTTTTTTATCGGAACACAATCTCATGATTCATAGTAAGTACGAAACAAGTATGAAAGATTATACAACAACAATTCTGATAACTGAATGGGATTTCTGCTTGAAAGACTAATAATTCTCTGATTCCAGCTTCTAAAATGTGAGTCTTCTCTTTGTATTTCTGACTGTTGGCTAGAATAAACAAGCAATTTGAAGATGTGGCCTCCGACTCTGGGATGTTGTGATGGCCATTTTTCATTTATAGACTATTATCTGGATAATAAAAAAAAAGAAAGAAAGAAAACAAATTAATAGATTTAAGCAATCATTAATTGTAGCCATAATCAGATCCTATTTTAATGTGTGAATGATGTCACGGTTATTTCATATATTTTAAATGTATCCTGATCTGAAACACTTGTCTTCATGTTAAGTAAAAGTACACTGCATCAAATGTTTTAATTCTCCAATACTGACATATTGCAAATTAAGGGCTGTCCGATAATCGTTATTTCTTTCGAGTTTAAAAGCAGATTTTTGTTCCCGAGTGAAAGTTGAGGAAACCTGATGGTTAACTGTGGTTTAAACTCTTCTTTATGGTCACTTGATGCCAAACAGTGAATCACTTTGCAAATCTGAGGCAGAACATTCAAAACAATTATGATCAAATCTTTGTCAACAAATATGCACAAGTAAAATGAAGTAAAATGTTTTTTCTCTCCTTTTTCCTCAACAAAATAAACATCTTATTTAAGTCCTAATTTGTGTATGATTCAAGTAAATAAAATCAAACATTTATTGAACATTTGTTATATTGTTATTGAAAAGAATTTTAATTTATTCTTATTGTTTTATTTTCCAGCTCTATTCAAATTGCAGTTAAACATTTCACCGCATTATTTATTATGAGGCAGTAAATGTCCTTAGCTTCACACCTGTCTGCAGCTTGCAGGACACACCTTTGTTGATTGTGTAAAGAGGACGGGGGTCACTGTGAATCCTCAAGGATCTCAAGGATCACCAAACCCTCGTCCTCCATCAACAGTCAACCACACCACCATAGTACTGGTAACTAACTAACTATTGGTAGCAGCACAAAGACTTGTGGACGACACATAAGGAGGACATTTTTGGGTGCACACCAAATTACACAACTTCTGTGAGAAAGTGAGGGTTAAAATAAATAATCTTAATTAGTAAATCACGTGTTTCAACAAGTCCTTTGAATAATTAAACTTCATTCTGTTCAGACATGTCAGGTAAAAACGCTGGTACTAACAGCCCATAAAATGATCATTATTAACCGGTCTTAAACACAATCTGACATGATTAGTCCAATAATCACTTAATTATACAATAGAAACTTCTCAAACAAATATGCCAAATATTCTCTTGTTGCCACTTCTCTGAAGAAAGGATCTGCTCCTTTCTTTTGTCATTTATGGTAAACAGAATATCTTTGACCACCTTTGGGCCTTTCACAGCTTTCTGAAATGTCAACAAAACAAATGACTGATCAGGATAATAATCCGCAGAGTGATTAATGACAGTAATAACACAGCCTAAAACCAGCACCATTACCATCTAGCTTCAGGTGTCAGTACCCAGAATGCACTGAGGTTTGAGAAGCTGTTTATTTATTCTTTACTCTGTATTTCAGTGAGACATAGATCCTGTATATCTGTTAAATAAAAAAAGCTTCTTTGTTTCTCAAAGTTAAAACATGCTTTGTTTAGGAGTCAGAACTGAACGAATCGTCTTCACAGTTTAAACCATTTCCAGCCCCGGCGAGTATTTGAACAAGTGAGGTCTAATATTGACACATGCCTGTTTGTTCCTGACATCACGTGACGCTCTGACGGACGCCGCTGCAGCTGAGGGTCAGAACCGACAGACCGCTTCTCACACGTGACCTTCCTGTGCAAAGGTTTTAGGGCGTGGAGAAAATGCTGTCAAGAAAGATTGCTTTCAAAAACAGACATGTTCATAGATTCTACTTATAAGTCATCAAAAAGCAAAGTGAGTGAACTCAATCAAATTAATATTTGGCGTGACCGCCGCTTCAACATGTCTACTTTTGAAAAGCAGTTTTACTTTACAGCAGTTTTCCCCACACCTGCCTAAAACTCTTTGGTGGACAGAAAATCATTTGTCATGTTTTTAAAGCATAAATGTGGAAGATTTGCAGCTTTTCCTTGTTTTAATCAGCGTAAACTGATCATGTGACCTCATGTCAGATCTATTTCTTGCTTTTGTTTGAGAGCTTTTTTGCTCATGTCATGTTTGTGCTCCTGGAGACCAAAAAAACATGGCAAACACTACTTGATCATCTTGTTTTTCTCTATTTTGTAATTTTCTAATTTAAAGAACTGATTTTGATGTGATGGCACGTTTCAGAAAACGATGCATGACTTGTGTTGCAGCTGTAAAACAAGCTTTGCGTCGATGCCTTGTTTGATCCATAAAACCATATACAGCGGACTGTTTCTCACGGACGATTATTACTGTCGCACAACGCCCTGACGCTGTGGACAAGTGAAGGCGACATGATCTGATGGCTAGAGAGGAAGAAGAGACAAAGACAGAAAGCGTCCAAAGTCTGGGATCATTTCAAGCCAACAGAAATCAGCAGCTCTGCACAGTGAGTCTGCTGTAAACCAGAACCACGGCTTCAGCATCTGAGCAGGTAGACCCGGTCCACGCATCCAGTCCACGGAGCGGACCCTAAACGCGCTAACGTTAGCATTTAAATCATGACTGTTAGATGAGATGAAGGCCAGCAAAGGTAAGGCACAGGTCTTTGTTTGTTGCTGGTTGGTCTGTGAGTTTGGGTCTGAACGTTACTGTGATGATCCGGTACAGGAGGCGCCAAGCAAAAGGATTTCTCATCCGATGAATCGATGGAATAATCGGTTTAATAGCCGATCATTAAAATAACCAATGGCTGCAGCCCTGAACACCTGCTTACGCGGCATCATCCAAATTATCTGCAGCGTCACACAGAGAGGAGCTACAGGAAGCCGTGTTAGATTCTTGTTCAGCTCACGTTTATTTACAGCTCCGGTTTAATCACTTCAGACACGCAGACTAACTGCAGACAGGCGGCTCGCAGATGTATTTAGAATACACCAGAAACTATAGTGTAACGGTTCATTAGCGCTCCTCCACTGATAAACACGGCATTAGCTTTGTGGCTAATTTAGCAACGGGCAGTGTTAGCTGCTGTAACGTTACGTGATTTTAGAGAATATTTAGAAGTGATGAACTAGAGACAAATGTGGACCGTTCACTAGAACTGCGACACAGTTTGAAATAAATCTACAATCACGTCTTCCGACACCCAATTACTATAACATTAACCTGCGGTGAGCCGAGAGGAAGCCGGGGGAGGGCAGCGAAAACGGGAGGGCATCTCCTTGTTTTAACATGCTACAGGCTGGTTCTGGTCAGCTGATTGTTTTCTTCTGTGGTTTTTGTGGTGAGGCAGAGTTGTTAACAGGAGCTGCAGCTGATCGCCCTCTGGTGGGCAAACTATGCAACACTTATATCATGAGTGATCCGTTTCTTTTTTAATAGTCATATCTGATATCCGATTAAAAGCAATTAGCTCATGTCAGCCGATGAATCGGTCGGGCTGTAGTGTTCAAACAAAACACAATGAACATAAAACATGAAATGCTTCCTTTGCTTTGTGGTCACGTCTGTCCAGTTTGTGTCAAAGTAAAGGGTTAATATTTGTAAGCATATTCTGTTTTAATAAAAGGTAGAATATTTTAAAAGAAAACAAAGGCTGGTGCAGCCAGTATTATTATTATTATAGATTTAAGATTATAATACATAAAGCAGCAGGACGTAAAGCTCACGCTCACCTGTCAGTAGTCAGATTGATCCCTCGTTAAGTAGCAGAGGTGATTAAAGTGAGTCGCTGTCGGTGACAGTGTTAACAGGCTAATCTGTAATCTACAGCAGGCAGACATGTTAATCTGCGCACACACACACACACACACACACAAACCTGCTTGTTCAAACACTCTGAAGTCACACTCAAGGACCGTTCAATGACTTTCAAGACAGACTCAAAGTGGTTGCTTCCCACAGGAGACGCCAGCCCCGCCTGACAGTCCACACTCATTTTTAATCTGGTACGCTGTCGGACAGTGAAGCCTGTAGGTGGACTTAAATCGCCTCGTTGTTTTATTCTGCCTCATCGTGTTGCGTTTGCTCTGTGTGATGAAGGTGCTGTGAAAGTAAAACTTTAGTCCAAATGTTTTTCATTAACGGACACGTCTGAAGAAAAACAAGTTTTATATTCAACAGGCCTTCAAACCGACCAGTAGACGGAGTTAAACGGTAAACGCTCACTCGTTACGCGCGAGCAGTGACTAAAACTCGTCTCTGTCCGCGAGAGGAGTCTCAGTCGACCGACTCTTTCCACGGGAGTACAGCAGGAGGCGGTTTACAGCGGCGCCGACCGGGAAGACTGCGTCGAGTTCATCTGTCAGTAACATCGTCCACAGTTATTTATGAGACCTGCGATTGGTCGGCTTGGCAGCATTGCATTTGTGTCGTTGTGCTCAGTCTCCTGGGCCCAGTTCTCCTGGTTTAGTTCAAATATTGAAAATGGGTTGTTAAAAAGAAAAAAGGATTCTGAAATCGGATCAGATCACCTAATAATCCAATCCTGGACTTGATCTGGATCAAATCTTCAGTTTGTGTAGTTTAGTAGGACAGGGACCCCTTTGATCCAAAGAAACAGGATTATCCTGATCCCAACAGAAGGCTGCATTCAGCGTGGATTTTAAAACTTTTCCAAATAATACAACAATTTTATCATGTAGGAGCCTATTTACACATTTATTTATATTTTGCTCTTGATTTGTTTAAACTTTACGGTGATGAAGTAGATGAAGTAGACTTTACCTATAAGCCTTTCAGTACAGGAAGAAAACAAGTCCCCCAAACAGCTGTTAGTATCAAACAAAAGCAATGTATTTAATTAATTAATGAGCCCTGTCACTTATTAGTGTACAACGGCACAATCATCAGAGGTGAACCACTCAAAAGTAGTAACAACTGCATCTCTTGCTGCAGGTCCAGCCAGCCTCCTAAAAGCTGCTGTCAGACATCTGACTAACTATTGGACAACACATGCTCAAAATACCCACAGTGCATCTATGAATGATGTACATTTGTTTGTTTTTCTTGGATTTGTTGTGCGTCAGATGGTCTGAAAATGGAAGGAAATGTTTGTGTTATTTTATTGTGCGTTTTCGGTCTCATCAAACAGCAGCGACCCCCCCGCTGGCTGTTCTACCTGCTGGTCTTTAAATCATTAACTGCCTGCGTTGTCATATGTAGTCCTATTTAGAGCGCTGGGATACCAGATTTGGTAATCCTGAAAAACCTGGATCTGGATTCTGGGTGATCCAATCCAATGTTGCTTTGAAAAACCGGCACAAAAGTAATCCAGGATTACGTGATCCAGGATAGCAAAACGTGGGATTTCTAAATTTTTTGAACAACTGGGCCCTGAAGTCACTTTCTGCTAGCGGCCAAACCAGCGGCTGTAACACGGTGACTGAATTATTTGTGAGCATGACAGCCCCCACAAAATGACTCATTTCACTACCAGAGTTTGATCCACTCGGCCGATAACATTTGGAAAATCTGGAAAAGCTGCACAATCATCATTTTACCCCCATTCAAGCTCGTGGAGGACTAAACAGTTAGCTGGTTGGCCGGCAGATGGCAACACAGTGGACGTATTGCAGAACGACGCACAGGAATAAACGCGTGGCAACCTGCGTGGACTCGACGCAGAAGCAGAAATCAGGCGTCATGGTTTTGTATTTTCCTGTAACCTTATAACATTTCTGTGTCAGCCTGGAACTCAAAACATTTCCTGATGCCCCAAAAATAGATATTTAAATGCAGCCACAAGCCGCAGCGATCGGGATCCAAACAGACTCGATGAAACAATTTGGACTCTAAACGTAACCTTGTTATCCGAGCCTGAATAGCGGGAGGAAGTCTTATGTTGTTTTGCAGCAGCAACAACCAGCAATATTTGACTTAATCTGATTTAAAAAACACACAACATGCATGAACTCCCCCACTGTTGGGGAGAAAACGTCGTTGTGTTGTTTCAGGCGTACTGCAGTGGCGGTCTGGTGTAAACGGCGAGTAAAGCCACACCGTAACATTTATTGTGTTGCCGTTCGTTCACCTGATATTAAATGTTGCCTTTATTAATGTATATTCTTTGTATCCAGGTCGATGGTGGGTGCTGCTGTGTGAAACTGCACGTTTCTGGGTCTTTTTATAATCAGCAGATTGTTTTTTTTAGCTTAAGCTGGGCTCAACTTTTTTGACACCTACGCGGACTTCTGAACCGACCACGGGCTGCAGCGAGGCAAGCATCTGACACACATCAGTGGACGTATGGATGTTTTTTTATTTCTCTTTTTTTTTAGAAATGTACATTTGTTGTAATAAGCCACGTCTAATCAATCATTACCACATTTTATCCAACAACTGAGTCACAACTGAATTTCATACAAATCCATGCAGCTAACTAGGAGATATTAGTACAGGGCAATAAAACAATAATAATCACAATATAATATTCCTCAATAACTACTGTTTTATAAAGGACTAATTTCTTTCATTATAATAAGACAAAAAAAAATAAAAGATTTGTTTAATTTTCTTTGTGCATATTTGTTGAAAACAGATTTTCTCATTAATAGTTTTGAATGTTCTGCCTCAGATTTGTGATCCACTGTTTGGCATCAAGAGTTTGTTCTGACCAGAAAGAAACTTTCCCTCAGGAGCAAAAATCTGCCTTTAAACCTGAAAGAAATGATGATTTGACGTTTATCCTGATAATTGGCCGTATCGCCAGCCCCACGGGATATAAATGTTGTGGTAAACAGGTTCTGTACATGGACGTAAAAACCTGTGACTTGGTTCCTTAAAATGACTTTTTATTATTCAGCTATGGTTCCAGTCCACGCCTGGCGCCGTTACTCGGACGAAGTTACAGGGCTGAACCACAAATTTAGGTTCGATTCATAAATAATGAATATATTCTAACACGTGGGAGTCAGTGGGGGAGGGGCGGCAGGCTGCTCAGGTCTGCAGCACGGTGAAGAAAGAAAAAAGGGAAAGCTGAGGAAAACATAAAGGTGTAGAGGATTTGATTGGCAGGAGAGGAAAGTCTTGGGGGGGAGGGGACACACAAACACACAGTCATGTGACTGCGTGTGCTGCTTCTGACTGGCTGAACATTTACATCTTTCAGATGTATTTAAACCAGTAAAAACAGATTAAACTCATTATGAACCAGTTCAGATGCAGAAACTAGATTTACAGCGGCAGGAGCACACCTGGACGTCCGCGTGTTCGATGCCCCAGCAGCACTTTACAGCATTAACAGGAGGACCAACTGGAGAAAGACACTGAACCCCAAATTACTGTCGAAGGTTCTGCCATCAGTGCGTGAATGTGAGTGGTCAGAAGACTAGAAAGGTGCTGCGCAGGTACAGCAGGGACAATATTTCTGTCTACCAGCTGCAGATCAAAGCACTGATGAGACTGAACGGCACATTCAAACAGCATCAGACCAAAACAAGACGACAGAATCCAGACAAGGGAACGAACACATGCAGCAGGAACACACAGGCCGGCGACGGGCAGCCGACGGGCCGGCGACAGGCAGCCGACGGGCCGGCGACGGGCCGGCGACGGGCAGCCAACGGGCCGGCGACGGGCAGCCGACGGGCAGCCGACGGGCAGCCGAGGGACCGTACATAAGTGGCGTTCATGCTGTGTGTGAATGTTTTACCCTTTAAAACCCTTTAACTCTGCAGGAAACCCCCTTTTAAATATTCATGAACCCAAACTGCTGCTAAAACCACGTCTCCCTTTTAGATATTTAATCCTAAACCTGCTCAGTAACTTCACTGTGAGCTTAATTAAGATCTTAAAAAACATTAAATGTAATATTATTCTCCCTCCAGTATCAGTTCATCCATCAGTTGCAAACGGGTCAATCCAAAGGGACGTCTTCAAATTTCTCGCACTGTTCAGTTTAAAAGACATCGGAACAGCTTCTGATTACTATTTAATTATAACCGTAAACACAAAATGAACAGTAGAGTTACATATACTACAGTACTTGGAGTAATTCTAACTGATTTCTGTAAAGAAGAACTTGTTGATCATCTAAAGGATGAATATCTGCAGGTTTTCTTCATGGTCTGACTGTAAACTGAATATCTGCCACAGTATAAATACAGTTGATGCAGCAGCATGTGTGACCTTTTTAAAGTCAATGCTTATTTGTTATTTATTCCCACATGAACCTGCGTCACGCTGCTTCACCTGTCTGCAGATCAATAACCTGCCCAGGTGAGATCCTGCACACCCGGCGTCTCATCTCAGATTTAAATCTCCGTGTCTCTGTCTCAGCTGCAGCCAATCAAACGCCTCACTTCTGCTTCCAGCCCGGATCATGTAAACAAACCGATCCCGGATCTTAAGAGCTGCACTTCTGAGTCTCAGGATCCAAACTCCGTGCAGGACTCACCGGGTTTAAACTCGGGAAACTCAGGAAACTAACAGTTCTGCCCGCACGTGTTTAATTTACTTTAGTTGCTCGGACACTTTAATGTCCGTCCCGGTCGCAGCGGGGCTCCCTGACCTTGGCCCGTCTCCTCTCGGTCGGGTTCAGCTCCGGCATTAATTTATCGGGACAAAAGCGGAGCCGCCGCCGACATTTCCCCTCCGCAGACTCCCCGACCTGACCGGGGGAACGACACCGAGCCCGGCCGGCCAGGAGGAGGAGCAGGGGGACAGGGGGACAGGGTCCACCGAAGAAAACTGGTCTAGTGTTTCCGACATGATGCCACCAACAGAGCAGGACAACACCTACCGCCGCCAGCCCCCTTTCACCGAGACCCCGTCTCCATCGGAAAATGGCTTTCGAGCAGCAAGCCATTTTCCCCCATGCTAACGGGCTAGCTCCTCAAACACAGCCCGCTGCACACAAAGGCCGGGGACAAGTCCAGCTCCTCAAAACAACGCGCACACAGCAGAATAAACACCCTTTGTGCTTTTTAAGCTTTAATAAAAAAGTCACATTTTCTGTATTTGAGGTGAAAGTCAGCGACACGGCCGCGCTAACGTTAGCATCAGCGCCGTGCTAGCTAGCAAAGCAACCTCCCCCCCCCCCCCCCCGCTTCTCTCTGCGATGAGAGAAAAAGGGGGTAAAACGGAAGTTCAATACAAATACAGTAAACCAAAAAAAAAACACGAACAAACGACACAAACACAAACGCGCAGGCTTCGCTAACACGCAGATGTGTCCCGCACACGAAGCGCACCGGAGGCTGGTTAGCTCTGCAGCTAGCAACCCGAGGCTAGCCCGGAGCTACACAAAGATCTCGACAAACACACCGCGGCCCCCGCTGATGGAAAACCTCGTCTTTCACATCGTCTTTTTAGCTCCACACTTACCCTCAACTGGCCCCTGCGCCCGCGACGTGGACGATGCACCGCGCGGGGATGCAAAAAGTGCAAGTTTCACGGATTAGGCATGGTTTATCTCTCCTCCCGCTGCTCAGCCACCGACTTTTGGTTCTTGGCTCTTTTCCCTTTCTGCCGCCGCTCCGACAACATACTTCCTGCCGCTGCCGCTGCGGCCGAGCGGCGCCGCAGCGCACACGCGTCATCATGCGCACAATCAGGTTTAAACCCGCAGCACAAACACCAGGTTTGCGGGTTTAAACTGCGGGTTCAGACTTTTATTTGCGTGTCCGTGTTTAGAAACAGGCCGGGGTGGAAGCTTCAAATGTCTCATTTTGTTCAGTTTAAAAGACTGAATATCAAAACAGTGCATACAGATATACTACTTATTATACTTTTACTAATTACATCCATCAAATGAGTCACTATTAAAGCAGAAATCAGCTCCTCCATCATCTACATGATAAAAGTCTGCAGGTTTTCTTCATGGTCTGACAGTAAACTGAACATTTTGGGGGGTTTCTGTCTCGGTCAGACTCTCTGACATTTAACAATCATTTATCAGTTCGGGGGTTTAAAACAACGGGTTCAGGGCTTTAGTCCCTCAGACCTTATTTGTGTCCTCGTTTGATGCAGATGAGACAAACATAATCTGGAACGAGCCGGGCGGCTGCTGCTGCTTCAATCATGTGGGTGTCCTGCAGAAACCAGGATTATTGTGGACCAAGGAGTCCACAGCTTCCACCAGTTAGTCTTCTATTAATCATTTGCTTTACTATCGTCTCGCTGTCTCACTGCACACGCCGTCTTAGAAACATTAACCTCCAGGAGCACAAAGCCTGGTCAGGATGCTCAGGTCTGAGTCCAGACTCCTTTCTGCTGCCGTGAAATTAAATATGTCTGTTAGAGGTCCAGTGTGTGATATTTCTGAGGATCTATTGACAGAAATGTAATATGAAATCTATAACTATGTTTTCAGTGGTGTGTAAAGACCTGACATGATGAACCGTTTTGTTGTTATTACCTTTGAATGAGACACCGCGGGGCTTCTGACATGGAGGTCGCCATGTTGCACCGCCGTGTTTCTACAGAAGCCCATAAAGACAAAGCGCGTTTCATCACTACGTTAAATACATAGAAGAAGTAGAAGAAATGGTCTTCTTCTGCCACCAGAGGCCGCAGCCTAACAAAAAGACCTAATAAGCTGCTGCATGGACGTTTCTCTGCTGAGCACCGATTATTAGACAGCTGATTATTCCAACTAGTGTTACTTTCATCAGACGAAACTAAACAAAATATATTCAACAACCTTTTTTGCGCTGACGAAGACGAGACGGCCACAATGTCCTTAAACGCTGACTGTGACTATATAAACATGAATATTGTTGATGAAAAATGACGAGACTGAAATGTAAGTCATTATTAATAAAAAGTCTTTCTTTCTTTTTGTCAGTATAATGAGGAGACTAAATATCACAGGCCACATTTTCTCCCTCTAAATTTCCACTTGTACAGTTTGTTCATTCAGCCGAGTTTTCTTCTTCCTGCGCTTTGAACGCTGGCCGACATCAGCTCCCCTAAAAGCATGATTTGTGATATTTCGGGGGGGATTAAAATATTGACAGCTGCTTTATTGCCATTAATCTCTATATTTCTCTGTCATCATGGATCATGCGAAGCGTCAGACTTCAGCGGGCCGGTCGCTCCACGATCTCCTGTCCCTGGTCCGCCCCACTTCCTCTCAGGTACGGGTCGTGTCTCTAGTACGACCAACACGCTGTGAACGGTTCGTGATCGTTCCCTCTGGCTGGATGAATATTACCATCGTTTCTCTGTTTTGGTTCGAGCAGATCGACCAAAACGCTGATCAAAATTATACTAAAGAGTTAGAAAAGACTAAATTGATGCCCAACGAAGGTTAAAGTCAAGGGCAACTGGACTTGGTTGAAGATACTGGAAGATGTTTCGTCCCTCATCCAAAGGACTTCTTCAGTTCTGACTGACTGGCAGATGGATGGTTTGAAAGAGGTGTCAAGGAAGCATCTACACCAGGGTGGAGAAGCCGTCATTGAACAGGGGAGGGGGTCTACGCCACCACTTATCCCCCACTTACAATGCTGTCCTTTCATCACTTCCCAGGAAACTCAACAAACGTAACCTATTGGCCTCAGGTGAAGATACCAACGATGGTCGTTCAGTCTTGGCCTCAGGTGAAGATACCAACGATGGTCGTTCAGTCTTGGCCACAGGTAGTCTTAACGACCGTAACGACTGTCGTCACAGCAACAAGGAACACTAACGAACCAGCGGTATCGATGACCCGGGATAACGACCCCACTGAGGTTAAATAGCTGAGTTTCCCTGCCAGTCAGTCAGAACTGAAGAAGTCCTTTGGATGAGGGACGAAACGTCTTCCAGTATCTTCAACCAAGTCCAGTTGCCCTTGATTTTAACCTTCGTTGGAGAACTATGACCTGGATGACTGAGAATCTTCATAGACGACTAAAATGATGGTTAATGACTAAAACTAAAACTAAAATACCCAGACTTTTAGTCAACTAAAACTTAATTAAAAATAGAGTATACAGTGAAATATGACAAAAACTAACAAGGACATTTGACACAGGACTAAAGCTGTGGCTCAGTACCGAGTTCGCCAAGTTCGCCAAGACTCGGTAGTACAAACTCCCTGGAAAGGGAGCACGCAGTCCGTCATTCAGCAATTGGAACAGCGGCGGACTTGATGACAGCTGGACCCGTTAGCGGACGGGACCTCACATCTCTGAAAACGTCGTAGCAATTTTTTTATATCAGCTCTGTCTTGAGAAATCAGCCACATATTTGGAGTTTAAACAACTATATTCCCGCATAAAAAACTCTTAAAACTACTATCTGTGACACAAGAACAGCAGTATTATAAGTTAAAGTTCTGAGTTTTCTCCTCCAACATTTCTGAAATGCATTCTGGGATATCTGGCTATCCGAAGTCCACACAAGTCACCACCGATGCAGGCTCGGTAAAACGCAATAGTATGAAGCTGCAGTACCGGAGGCTGCAGTCCTGGGACTGCAGTCCTGGGACTGCAGTCCTGGGACTGCAGTTCTAGGACCATAGTTCTTTTGCGACAGCGCCATCTAGTGGCGTGGTGGTGGTAATACACAGCAACACGACGGAGGTTAACGCTGTCTGCCAGCACGTCGGACGAATAGCTGTAGGGTTAACCGGTCGACATGCATATCATCAATAACTTAGGTTTAGGCACACACTCGGTGGCGGTTGTGGTGAAGTAACATAGCTAGCTAGCCAGTCAGTATCAAAGTAAACAAGGGTCCTGGAATTGCAGTTCTGGTCCTAGGATCCGAAACTGCAGCCTCCGGTACTGCAGCTACATACTACTCGTAAAACGGGCGGAGCGAGAACACATCCGGGCGTTTGACTGTACTTGGCTAGATGCGGACTTTTAAATTGGAGCAGCACTTTGGCTGCGACTGATGACGTTTCTCAAGAACACGAGTACAGACAAGAACGCAGACTGAGAAACAGCTTAAGTCTCAATTTTAAAATAGCTGACAAAATTAACACTAATTCCAACAAGTCCTTTAATCTAAACGACAACATATCCACGCTTCCCAAAACGACACATGTGAGCGTTAACGGTAAATAAGTACATTACATACAGTAAGTCACGTGACAGAAGGTAAAACTGAAAATAACTCAACGTTTGCTTGGTTTCACACAAGACTCGAACTCTGTTTATAATACGTCACCCGACGTCCTCCTTTGCTGCCATCGTACGGCCTCTGGTGGTCGCTGCCACAGTAAACGTAACGTGCTGCACAATCCACCTGCGTGTACTGACGTTTCTGGTGAGGACGGTCTGTTTTTCGCGTTTGTGTCAGAGCTTTTGATTTATTGATTGCTGTCGAGGCATAAAGAGAATTTCCACCAATAGAACAAAACATGCTCCTGAGGTAAACGGCGTCCTGCAGCTTTAAGGTGAGAAAAGTAGCAAATCTGCACTTTCTAGGAGCTGAAAGCTGTCATTTTCAAATAATTAAAAAGTAATTGATTAATCATTTAATCATTTCAGCAGTCGGGTGGTTTAATATTTCATAAACTCTTGATATGTTTTGTAAAATCTTAATCTGTGATGTAACCTAAGGTGTCAGATAAATGTAGGAAAGTAAAAAAAGTAAGTTTCCCTTGATGTGCAGTAAAAGTATAAAATGACATGAAATGAAAAGAGTCAAGTAAAGTAAAAGTACTTCAAATGTGTACTAAAGTAAATGTAGCTGGTTCCATCTCCTCTGGTTGATGATAGATAATCAAAACATCATCATCGGTATAAACTCTCTGTGTTACTGTCTAAGAGCAGCTCGTTGTTTCCTACAGCACAAAACATCACAGAATCAATAAACATATCGATGTGCTGAACATCTTAATGTGCGCTGACATGAAGCAGTGAAGAGTCGCTGCGTAAATATTCACAGTGTGTGTGTGATTATATAAACTTCATGACATCACTTCAAGTTTCATAGTGTTTTTATTTTGGTTTTAGTTTTTGTGGAAATTATAAATATTTGCACACTGGGTCAACAAAAAAAATATTTTAACGTTTTCCACTTTAATTTTTAAGTTAAGACTGCTGGCAGAATTACATTAATTCAAAGCAATGTTTTGAGTATGGTGAATTACATTTTAGGCCACATTTCTAAGTAACTTAATAATTGTCAACATGAATGCAAGTATTTAAGTTGATCCAACATAATGTTTTAAGTTAGGTGAAGAAGCTTTTTGGCCACAATAAAACACATTTCTAAGTAACATGAACTTAATAATTAAGTTGATCCTCACAAGAGTTAAGTTGTGTGTAAGCGAGTTATCTTTAGTATTTCTTTTCATCTGAATCATAGCCAGCTAACTGGCTAATGTAGCTACTTGTAGTTTATAAACGTAGCTAGCCTACATGCTAACCGGCGCGGTGGCTAATGGGTAATCCCAGATGAAGACATCTTGCCGAGATGTTTTCCCTGGCTGCCTGGCCACCTATTACTCCCGCATGTAAGCCTACTCAATCAGTGACAGGCTACAGCTACTAGCTAACTTTACCTCGGTACACACTGTACTATCAACACTGCTCAAATTTCAGAGTAAGGACTTCCAGATTTCGGTATTCGGTTACAGTAGGCTATCACCAACAGAATCCTGAGGAATGCAAATATGTGTAATTAAGCATAAAATTACTTACTTACACATTACGCTTCAGTGAGTTTCAGCTGTGGCCCTGTGGTCACTCGTCTGGCCTTGAACATGCCCGCACACGCAAGAGAGGGAAACTGTGGACCATTTAAATGTCAACAAATTGTATTTTACGTTAACAGAACTTAAAATTAAATTAATTTGTGATTAACTGAAAATGTTAAACTCTGACAAGTCATGATAGTATATTTAATCAATGGGCATAATTTGTGTGTCATCCAAGCTCATTAAAATAACAATTACAAGTAAAAAGTCTAACAGTATCTAAGAACTTGATTTTTTATTTCACAACAATATATATATATTTAAGAAATGACTAAAGGTCCCCTGAATTAGTTTTTAGAGTGATCTCCTGTAATAAACAGCGCAGTGGTAAACAAATGTTTCAGCTTTGTGAATGAATGAAAGAGGAGATAACAAACAGCAACACATAAGGAAAAAAAAAACAGACTTTACGAGTATTATTATGGTTAATAGTAGAACATTATTTTAAAAAACAAATATGTTCATATACATACAAACAGCTTTTATTCCTCTAATCAAAACAAGAAGTGAAAGTGCAACACATTGTTTTATCCATCCATTGTCAACCGTTACTTTTTACTTATTATTAATTTAAAAAGTAATAATATTACTGTATTATTATTATTAGGTATTAAAAGTAAATAGTCACGTTACCTGTTATGTTACAAGTACTTTCCACCACCGCACCCCAACCTTAAAAGTGACGGGAAACCTGTTCAGCAGCGCGTTTTAGAAATGAATCCACTTTACTGGAACAATAAAAGAACATCTCTCTCCCTCGTTAGCCATTAGCCTTTTAGCTAGCAGCTGACTTCAACAACGTTATCTCTGGTGTCGCTGACCTGCTGCGCGGTCGCGTATGTTATATTAATATAAAATGAAACACAAACAAACAGAATCTCTGAAACGGTAGTTTATTATTAAGTCAACAAGAATTTACAAACAATGCGTAATCTACGTTGATTACAGTCTTCTGCCCGGCTACCGAAGCGCTTTTGTTCGCTGGCTGCGCATCCAGTAGTGTTTGTACACAAGAAACCCGTCTATTTGTCTGTCTTATTTATTATTTATTTATTTGTTATATTTAGGAATTAGACTTTCTTTATGATTTGGACATATTTTAACCTCCATAAATGTAGTCATGCCAAAATGTAAACAGATATTAAAAGATAACAATTAACATTTTTATTTGTTGGTCTTAATATTTATTTCTTAGATTTAGAAATTATGCTTTCTCCTGGCCTGCAAATTAAAAAAACAAAAAAAACACTGCTTATTGTGTACTACATATCCCAGAAGCCCTTGTGTCAGCAAAGACGTCATATTTCCTCGCCTGGATTCAGCTCCTTCCCTCTTCGCTTCGCGTCGATCGCGATTTCTCTGTTTTAATTACCGACTTTTGCTCCGGTTTCGGAACCCGGTGCTGAGCTCGGCAGGATGGGTCCGGTAGAGGTAAACGTGGTCTCCTTTATTCACCTGAGTTACAGAGTCTCACCCAGAGTTTAGACCAGAACCTGAGCTCCTGCTGGATCCGCGCTTTGTGTTGTTGTCAGAAATGCGGCTGCTTAACGTTAGCATCTGTAAACGTACAATGAGATGGTGAACTTTGATTTTAAATTCATTTAGATCTTTACATTTTAGCACAGCAGAGGGGGAAATACAATCCCCATCCCCCGTGTTGTAAAAAGATCAATGTATTGATCCCTTTTCTGTGTGTGTGTGTGTGTTTGAGCGCTTCAGACCAAACTCCGTTCAGAATTTGTCAAAATTTGTGTTTTCATGCTTATTAGTAAAAATGCTCGCATAGGACAACATGTTTAAATACACTTTCATGCTAAATAAGGTTTCCTGATTTATTCGGGTTACGGTTAAATATGTTACAAGGCTGTTAAAGTTACAAGTTAGACGAGACTAATCTTAGAGCAGTTTGTGGAGATTTATAAGAGCTAAAGTCACCTGTGTCTATTTCAAAAAGATTTACAAATGTGCTTTAATGAAATGACACCGAGCTACCACTCAAATGATTATCGTACCAAAATATTAAGTACAGATATTTAACGTTTCACAAATGTTAACTGTGGACTAATAGCCATGTGAGCTGTTAAAGGAGCAGACCAGTGTTTTTGCATTAGCTGGCTCGCTCACCTGCACATTAAACAAACACCACATCACTGTTTTACAAACATGTTTTCAGACCTTTTGAACACGTTTTTTTCATTCCTTCCTCTCAGCCAACATTTTATAAAAAGATAATGTAGTTTATGTTCTCGTTTTACGCCATAATGATGATTTTATGTGGAATTTTGCAAATATCAGGATCTATATTGACATCATGGTACTCATCATCATCATCATCATCATCTTAGATAAGACCACCTGATGGGGCCAAAACACAGCAGGATTAACTGTATATTTGGGGCCCCTGGACCCAAGAGCGTCGCTTTGTGTTGAAAAGTGGTGGGGACATAAGGACAATAACAAGATGTGAAGATATTTTGATTCAGAAGAAATATGAAGTGCTGAAATACATGAGTGGGGGGGGGGCCTTTGTGCATTAAACACTTAATTTTCCTGGTTTTACATTTATTCATTTAGCTGACGCTTTTATCCAAAGCAACTTACAATTGCTATACATGTCAGAGGTCACTCACCTCCGGAGCAACGAGGGGTTAAATGTCTTGCTCAGGGACACAGTGGAGGATTGAACCCGGGTCTCCACCCCCTTTAGGGTGGAAATATCTTTTATTTATGTGAAGGTAAACACAAAATTCAATTCAAAGTGATAAAATATAACAGAATATAAAGCAGTGATTTGTAGCTGGCTGCTCTGATCAGTGTAATAAATCTGATTTTAAATCATCACGTTTGTGCTCCGCAGCTCCTCCACATGTCGGTTTTCTCCCAGAGTTTTTCTCCCTGTGGTCGATATCTGGCAGCTGGAAACAACTACGGAGAGATCGCCCTCTTCAGGTGGGGACAGAAACACCTGAGAGATTAAAACAGTCGGCGTGTTATTAATGAAGACTAACAATCACTGTGGTTACCTGTTGCAGCCTGTCTGCAGCTCTGAGTCCAGATGCGACCGCACTGAGTCAGAAACCAGTTCTCACGTTCACAGGTGAGTGATGACGCATTCAGTTCATCGTCTTCCCTTCAGTTATTTAAAATTTATCATCATGCCACAAACTGAGGACAACCAGGGGAAACTTTCAAATTATTATTATTTTGATGGTTTGATATTTTAATAATTGTTGTTTTTAAATTTCACATTTGATACTGATTTATTTATTTATTTTTAATGGACTAATTAAGTTTAGTTTGGGTTTTTTTTGCCTATTAATACACACACACACAGTTTTATCTATTCATTTTATTTGAATGTTTTAATATTATTATAATAACACACGTTACTGTGTCATTTATTTAGTTTATTTAAATGTTTTAATTATTAGTTTTTATTTTAACACACACACGCTTACCGTTTTATTTATTTTAATTTAATATTATTTTAATTTTCTAACATACTAACATACTAACACACACACACGCTTATTGTTTTATTTATTTTAATTTAATATTTTCATTTTCTAACAAACTAACACACACACGCTTAGCGTTTTATTTATTTATTTTAATTTAATATTATTTTCATTTTCTAACATACTAACACACACACACTTATTGTTTTATTTATTTATTTTAATTTAATATTATTTTCATTTTCTAACATACTAACACACACACACGCTTATTGTTTTATTTATTTATTTTAATTTAATATTATTTTCATTTTCTAACATACTAACACACACACACGCTTATTGTTTTACTTCTTTACTTTTTTAAAATTTTTATTTTTACCGAATTTTTATTTTCTATATATTTGTTTTACTTTATATACTTTATATATAGCTTTGGCAATATTGTTGCTATATATTCATGCCAATAAAGCTAATTTGAATTTAAACATGAATATTAAGTCTGTGTGTTTGAGCCATTAAAGAAGTGGACGTAGCCGCCGTGACGTCCCCCGTTGGTTTGTGGACTGCCGTTTTGAAGCACCTAGGTTGGCATTTTGGTCGTTGCCATCTTGGTTTTTTTGGATCCAGACGTGACCATATTTGGACGAGAGGGTGGAGCTAGCTAGCTTGGTTAGCAAGGTGCATCTGCAATTCACATTAACTGTCATAGTAGCCGGGATGCTAATTTTGGCTAAAGACAAACAGGCTTAAAACAAAATGGACATACTGAAAAATGACTTTTTCAGTGGCGCTGGTTAAATGTACACAGAGCAGCAGATACGAGTCGCCTCTGACTTGTCAATCAGCTTGTAGCCCCGCCCTAAAGCCTCCCCTGCTTCCTGGTCTCTGTTCCTCTAAATGGGACCATAATTTACTAAATGAACATCATGCTGTGTTGAAGAAGACTTGAAACTAGCGACTGAGACCAGAAACTCATCAGGAAAGTGTTTACTGAGGGAATAAATCAGCTGACAAGTAGAAACATTTTCTCATAGACTTCTATACAATCACACTTCTTTCTGCAGCCAGTGGAGTCGCCCCCTGCTGGCTGCTAGAGAGAACGCAGGTTTAAGGTGCTTCAGCACTGGCTTCACTTTTCAGAGCCGGAGGTTCCTGCTTGGTTCGTCCTTCGTTTCACATTTTAGTTCAGTGTTGTAACAACGAAACGTTTTTATAATTCAGCCTTTAATCTTCATTTTAAGCAGTTTCATATTCAAAATAATTGTTTTGACTGGACGTTCTGTCTCCTCTTCTCTCCGTCAGCTCACGAAGGTCCCGTCTTCTCTCTGCTCTCCAACGACTGCCAATTATTGAGCGCAGGAAACGGCGAGATCAGCGCCTGGAGCTGGGCCGAGCTCATCAAGAAGGTAACTGTCGCTTTAAACTGAACATCGAAGGGTGGAGAGGACAGGGACAGTAGATGTCGGGTGATCTGGACTTTAGTGGAGGAAAAGTGTTCAGTTGCAGAAACAGAGATGACTTGAACTCCGTAACTTGAAGCCGCTCGCCGTCTCCTCCCGCCCTGAAGGAGCGGAGAGACACATGTTCATCAGCTTCACTCTGAACTGATATCTGACCTTCTGTTTCCTCAGAACGTCAAACCTGTGTGGACGAAAAGACCCAACTACAAGTGAGAGACGCCGCACGCTGTCTTTCTGTTTGCTCATTGTCGCCTGACTGGAGGTTCTGAGCTTTGTGTTTCGTCTCTGTCCTCAGATCCAGTCTGGAGATCCCGGAGATCAACGCCATGGTCGTCAACCCCAGAGTGAGTCCAGACACAAACAGCAGACGTGTTTCCTGCTTTGTATCAGATCTGCTCAAACCCTAGACTCCGTGTTTTGTTAAATATTAGTCAGACAAACTTCAGAGCTCGGAGTAGCTGATATGGTTCAACATCTGATCAGGATCCTCCAGGGCGCCTTCCTTTGGAGGTTTTCCAGGCATGTCCTCCTGGTAGGAGATCCCGGGGTCGACCCAGAACTCGCTCGAGGGATTATATATCTCATCTGGAATGGGAACGCCACAGGATCCTCCAGGAGGAGCTGGAAAACATGCTTCTGCTGGGGCCCGACCCGGATGAGAGGCAGAGGATGGATGGACGGACAGGTGTTGGATGATAGATGGATGGATCAATCAGGGATAGATGGTTTGGTGGTGATGGATGGATGTGGGATAGCTGTTGGATGTAGGATGGATAGAGGACAGATGTTAGATGGATCGGTATTGTAGAGATGGTTGGATGGACGGATGTTGGACAGATGTTGGATTAATGGTTTGATGGTGATGGATGGATGTTGGACAGTTGTTGGATGGACAAATGTTGGATGGACAGATGTTGGATTAATGGTTTGGTGGTGATGGACGGATGTTGGACAGATGTTGGATGGACAAATGTTAGATGGACAGATGTTGGATTAATGGTTTGGTGGTGATGGATGGATGTTGGACAGATGTTGGATGGACAGATGTTGGATTAATGGTTTGGTGGTGATGGATGGATGTTGGACAGATGTTGGATTAATGGTTTGATGGTGATGGACGGATGTTGGACAGATGTTGGATTAATGGTTTGCTGGTGATGGATGGATGTTGGACAGATGTTGGATTAATGGTTTGGTGGTGATGGATGGATGTTGGACAGATGTTGGATTAATGGTTTGGTGGTGATGGACGGATGTTGGACAGATGTTGGATTAATGGTTTGGTGGTGATGGACGGATGTTGGACAGATGTTGGATTAATGGTTTGGTGGTGATGGACGGATGTTGGACAGTTGTTGGATTAATGGTTTGGTGGTGATGGACGGATGTTGGACAGATGTTGGATTAATGGTTTGGTGGTGATGGATGGATGTTGGACAGTTGTTGGATTAATGGTTTGGTGGTGATGGACGGATGTTGGACAGATGTTGGATTAATGGTTTGGTGGTGATGGATGGATGTTGGACAGATGTTGGATTAATGGTTTGGTGGTGATGGACGGATGTTGGACAGTTGTTGGATTAATGGTTTGGTGGTGATGGACGGATGTTGGACAGATGTTGGATGGACAAATGTTAGATGGACAGATGTTGGATTAATGGTTTGGTGGTGATGGACGGATGTTGGACAGATGTTGGATTAATGGTTTGGTGGTGATGGACGGATGTTGGACAGATGTTGGATGGACAAATGTTAGATGGACAGATGTTGGATTAATGGTTTGGTGGTGATGGACGGATGTTGGACAGATGTTGGATTAATGGTTTGGTGGTGATGGATGGATGTTGGACAGATGTTGGATTAATGGTTTGATGGTGATGGATGGATGTTGGACAGATGTTGGATGGACAAATGTTAGATGGACAGATGTTGGATTAATGGTTTGATGGTGATGGACGGATGTTGGACAGATGTTGGATTAATGGTTTGGTGGTGATGGATGGATGTTGGACAGATGTTGGATTAATGGTTTGATGGTGATGGATGGATGTTGGACAGATGTTGGATTAATGGTTTGGTGGTGATGGATGGATGTTGGATTAATGGTTTGATGGTGATGGACGGATGTTGGACAGATGTTGGATTAATGGTTTGATGGTGATGGACGGATGTTGGACAGATGTTGGATTAATGGTTTGATGGTGATGGACGGATGTTGGACAGATGTTGGATTAATGGTTTGATGGTGATGGACGGATGTTGGACAGATGTTGGATTAATGGTTTGATGGTGATGGACGGATGTTGGACAGATGTTGGATTAATGGTTTGCTGGTGATGGATGGATGTTGGACAGATGTTGGATTAATGGTTTGCTGGTGATGGATGGATGTTGGACAGATGTTGGATTAATGGTTTGCTGGTGATGGATGGATGTTGGATTAATGGTTTGCTGGTGATGGATGGATGTTGGACAGATGTTGGATTAATGGTTTGGTGGTGATGGACGGATGTTGGACAGATGTTGGATTAATGGTTTGCTGGTGATGGATGGATGTTGGACAGATGTTGGATTAATGGTTTGCTGGTGATGGATGGATGTTGGATTAATGGTTTGCTGGTGATGGATGGATGTTGGACAGATGTTGGATTAATGGTTTGGTGGTGATGGACGGATGTTGGACAGATGTTGGATTAATGGTTTGCTGGTGATGGATGGATGTTGGACAGATGTTGGATTAATGGTTTGCTGGTGATGGATGGATGTTGGATTAATGGTTTGCTGGTGATGGATGGATGTTGGACAGATGTTGGATTAATGGTTTGATGGTGATGGACGGATGTTGGACAGATGTTGGATTAATGGTTTGCTGGTGATGGATGGATGTTGGACAGATGTTGGGTGGATGGAGATGCTTTTATCTTGAAGGTGTTGTGGCCCTTTAAGAATCCGAACAGAAATCAATTTTTCAATTCAGTTTTATTTATATAGCGCCAAATCACAACAACAGTTATCTCACAGCGCTTTTCATTAAGAGCAGGTCTAGACCGAACTCTATGATGATATTTACAGAAGCCCAACAGTTCCCACCAAGAGCAGCACTAGGAGACAGAGGCAAAGAAAAACTTCCTTTCAATCAGCTCTCAGTTGTTGATGGCGGTTGATGCTTGTTGCTGTGGAAACAGATGGCGTCGGCTCAGCTCTGTCTCTCATCGCTGTGTTTCAGGATAACAGTCTTGTGGTTGGAGGAGGAGACAACAACATCCACATCCTGGACCTGGAGCACGGAGCCTTCAAGGTCAGCTTCATCAGTCATACCTCTGCTGCTCCGCCCGAGTGGAGACACGTTGACGGCCGTGTTCAGGTGTTTCATGGTTAAATACGTCTGGAGGGGCGTGGCGTTGTGACTGAGCTCTGTGGCGGTCTCTGTTTTCAGTCGGTCCTTCGCGGGCACTCGGACTACATCCACTGTGTGAGCGTGAGGGAGAGGGACGCCGAGATCCTGTCGGGGGGCGAGGACGGAGCCGTGAGGATGTGGGGTGAGTGATGGCGGCCATGCTGGTCTCACGCCTATCAGAAAACAACAAATGCCAGATTTAATGTTAACGCTGATGTCCTGTTGATCAGACAGCAGGACGGGTCAGTCTGTCCACTGCGTCGAGGTCCACAAGTACGAGGTGAGAAACGCTACAGCTGCTTTATTCATCATGTCTGTCTTATTTTTTCCATGTGTAGGTTTCACACAAATTTTAGTTTCCCATCGTGTTTATCGAGTTTGACGACTCGCCAACACTACAGCTGTTTGAACCCAAAATAAACATTTTGCTGTGATTTAGTTCTCAAACTGGTGCTGAAATAACGACTACATGATGCTGATTTGTTAAAAATATGAAGTCATGCTTTGTCAGGTCTGTCAGCCAGATGACAAGCAAACAACTTTTAAAATGCTCGTTTTCTGAATGGAGTTCTGACCCATCAGGGCTACACTAACGTCTTTCATAGTAAAGTACGACGAAAGCTGGAATCAAGTAACAGACACGTATTTGCAGAACTTACCCGTTAGTTCAGCTTCCTCGCTGACTTTTCTCCCAGCAGCCTCCTGTTGTGTCGCTCTGTGTAAATGTACGTTGCGGATCAGCTCGTCGTGTGTAAACGCTTCCTCCTTTTAAAACAAAGAAAAGTGAACAGAGTCTTGTGTGTTTCAGAGCTGTGCCCGGCCTCAGTACGGTAAATGGATCAGCTGTCTGACCACGGACTCTGACTGGATGGTGAGGGAACGCCGACATCACTAAATGTGTAGTTACCGTGGTTACAGGTGGTGTTTTAGGGAGGTGGCGGTGACTTTGTGTTGTTTGTGCTCCAGCTGTGTGGCGGAGGTCCGTCTCTGTCTCTGTGGCATCTCCGCTCTCTGTCGCCGACCTCCATCTTCCCTCTGACCGGCTGCCAGAGACAAGCCGCCTTCCACCAGGACATGGTGAGGTCACTGTGTATGTGTGTGTGTGTGTGTTCATGTATGTGTGTTAATAACACGTTCTCCTCCTCCTCAGATCCTGGCAGTGGGTGAAGGCCCGTTCGTGTCTCACTGTCTGCTGGGGGGAGAAGTCAAAGCTCAGATCCCCTGTTCACCACAGAACCTCAACACGCTGCAGCTCAACACCAACAGCACCGAGCACCGAGTGAGACCCTGAACGCATCACATACGTAACATCAGAGAGCTGACGGCGTCTGCGCTTAGACCCTGAACGCATCACATACATTAGACCCTGAACGCATCACATACGTAACATCAGAGAGCTGACGGCGTCTGCACTGAGACCCTGAACGCATCACATACGTAACATCAGAGAGCTGACGGCGTCTGCGCTGAGACCCTGAACGCATCACATACATTAGACCCTGAATGCATCACATATGTAACATCAGAGAGCTGACGGCGTCTGCACTGAGACCCTGAACGCATCACATACATTAGACCCTGAACGCATCACATACGTAACATCAGAGAGCTGACGGCGTCTGCGCTGAGACCCTGAACGCATCACATACGTAACATCAGAGAGCTGATGGCGTCTGCACTGAGACCCTGAACGCATCACATACATTAGACCCTGAACGCATCACATACGTAACATCAGAGAGCTGACGGCGTCTGCGCTGAGACCCTGAACGCATCACATACATTAGACCCTGAACGCATCACATACGTAACATCAGAGAGCTGATGGCGTCTGCGCTGAGACCCTGAACGCATCACATACGTAACATCAGAGAGCTGACGGCGTCTGCGCTGAGACCCTGAACGCATCACATACATTAGACCCTGAACGCATCACATACGTAACATCAGAGAGCTGACGGCGTCTGCGCTGAGACCCTGAACGCATCACATACATTAGACCCTGAACGCATCACATACGTAACATCAGAGAGCTGATGGCGTCTGCGCTGAGACCCTGAACGCATCACATACATTAGACCCTGAACGCATCACATACGTAACATCAGAGAGCTGACGGCGTCTGCGCTGAGACCCTGAACGCATCACATACATTAGACCCTGAACGCATCACATACGTAACATCAGAGAGCTGACGGCGTCTGCGCTGAGACCCTGAACGCATCACATACATTAGACCCTGAACGCATCACATACGTAACATCAGAGAGCTGACGGCGTCTGCGCTGAGACCCTGAACGCATCACATACATTAGACCCTGAACGCATCACATACGTAACATCAGAGAGCTGACGGCGTCTGCACTGAGACCCTGAACGCATCACATACGTAACATCAGAGAGCTGACGGCGTCTGCACTGAGACCCTGAACGCATCACATACGTAACATCAGAGAGCTGATGGCGTCTGCACTGAGACCCTGAATGCATCACATACATTAGACCCTGAACGCATCACATACGTAACATCAGAGAGCTGATGGCGTCTGCGCTGAGACCCTGAATGCATCACATACATTAGACCCTGAACGCATCACATATGTAACATCAGAGAGCTGATGGCGTCTGCGCTGAGACCCTGAACGCATCACATACGTAACATCAGAGAGCTGATGGCGTCTGCGCTGAGACCCTGAACGCATCACATATGTAACATCAGAGAGCTGAAGGCGTCTGCACTGAGACCCTGAACGCATCACATACACTAGACCCTGAACGCATCACATACGTAACATCAGAGAGCTGACGGCGTCTGCGCTGAGACCCTGAACGCATCACATACGTAACATCAGAGAGCTGACGGCGTCTGCGCTGAGACCCTGAACGCATCATTAGTGTGATGGAGGCCAGTCGGGGTTTGTCTGTCGCCTCGAGCGTCCACAGCAGCTGCAGTCTGAGATGGACGTAAAGAAACAGGAAGTCCATCACGGCGGTAACGGTGTGTTTTGTGTCTGTGCAGGTGCTGACAGCAGGAGGCAGCAGCGACCACATCGACGTCTTCACCAACCTGTCGTACAGAGCGTTCTCACTGCGCTTCTGACGTGAATGTGTCTGACAGGTGGAGCTCTGTCACTATTTTTACTGTTAAACTCAGCTTTTGTATCGTTTAGTCTGAAGATAATAAAATATTTTGTACCAACAGTTTTATTTTATTTGCACAAAATCATCTCCCAGAAGTTGTTCACTGAAGTTTTCCACAACAAAGCTGCTGTTTGGGGCCAGGGGCCCTGTTCTAACGGGTGCGTGACATTAAGCGCGTGGCGCAGTTGCGTTTGGGGGGCGTCCAACTCCAGTTTTGCTAGTTTAATGGTGGAGAATACGGTCAGTGCCAACTCATCCTGCGCAGAGGTTCGGTGGATTTGGAGAGTTTCTCCATGTACTGCAGGTCCTCCAGAGACGTGGCTCCAGCCGGACCGTGGCCCCCCCCCCCCCTCGCCTGCAGGTCCTCCAGAGACGTGGCTCCAGCCGGACCGTGGCCCCCCCCCCCCCCTCGCCTGCAGGTCCTCCAGAGACGTGGCTCCAGCCGGACCGTGGCCCCCCCCCCCCCTCGCCTGCAGGTCCTCCAGAGACGTGGCTCCAGCCGGACCGTGGCCCCCCCCTCACCTGCAGGTCCTCCAGAGACGTGGCTCCAGCCGGACCGTGGCCCCCCCCTCACCTGCAGGTGGAAATTCTCTTGCACATTTATTCCGGACATTTCTTTTGAACCACTGTGGATCAAAGTATTTCTAACAGTTATTTTATTATCGTTTTTATTATTCCATAAGAAAGTTCAGTGAGGATGAAGCACAACTTCCAGGCCTCCCCCGCTCTGATTCTTCTGACCCGCTGCTGCTGAGGACATTTACTGAAATAAAACAGTGAATAAACTGATACCTTTACAGATGATTATAATTACACAGTATTTCTGTTGTTCTTGATAAAACGAGGCCGAGCTCCTTCTGCTTTCAGCCTGGAACTCTTCTTTTTGTTAGTATGAGAAAACCGGCCAAGACGACGGCGACTTCGCCGGAGAAGGTTACTGGTAAAGAGCCGCCCCCGAGCCTTGAACCAGTACGTTTTAACCCCCACCAGCGAGAGTTGAACCTGCAGCCGGACGGACGAACAACACCTTCTTACAGAAATATACCTTCCAGTGAGCCTGAAGTTATTCGTGTTTAAAAAAAAAAAGAAAAAAAAGATGGCGTTTAGAACTAAAAAGATTTTATTTATGATAGCAAAAAAATACAGTTATATTTTCACTTTGAAAGCAAAGTGTACAAACCTCGTTCAGCGTTTCTCTTTACGACAGCGCTCTCCCGGGGCACAAAACAAACGCACTCCGACTTAAACAGAACCAGGTGTTGCATTCAGGGAGCAGAATATAGATCAGGATAAATGACAGCCAGTTGGTTCCCTTTTGTGTTCCTCAAACCGACACACGAGAGTAAATATCATGTACAGAGGCAGTCGTACAGCTCCACCTGCCGTCTTACTTTACCCAGAATTCATCAGGAACAACGTCGGGGTCAGACCGCACGATAGCGGCCCGATCACCTGACAGTCATGGAGCGTTCGGGGACTAAGATGAGCGTGGGGAACAAATCCAAAAGGCCTGGATGAAAGCAGATCCAGGCGCAGCAGGAACCTGCCAGGTGAGATGAGGCCGTAGTGTCCGTGGAGATGCGTCAGCGTGGCGGTTCTGAGGGTGATGTCGGGCGGGCGGGGCTTCAGGCGGCAGACAGGCAGGCCTGGCGGACGCTCTGGGCCCAGGTGTTGAGCAGCTCCGTCACCGAGTGTTTGTCCGGCAGCTGCAGCAGTTTGGACGTCATGTTTCTGTGGACCGTCTGCAGGAAGCTGTTCGCACCTGGTGGAGAGAGAGAGAGTCGCGGTCAGGTGGAGTCACTCCGTCTGCTTCAGCCTCTGAATCAGTGAAGGCAACGATTATTATTCATTAAACAACACCTGTAATTACTCAATATTTAAGTATTATTATTAATATGAACTTTATTTCTCCTCCAGGGGAAACTGTTATTAAAGAGGTCGGTCGTCAACGTCGTGTTATTAATTAATCATAGAAGTTTCTAAGCTCTGGCGGACGACTAGTTAAAAGCGAGTACGTCCAGGGCTTTACTTGGGCGGTGGACCCGCAGGTGCTGCATCAGGTTAGATGTAGGTATTGGCTCCTTTTAACGGCGCCCTGGTCAGTGTTGGTGCACCCGAAACGCTCCCGCACTGCCGACTTCTTCTTTGGTGGAACTAAAGCTTCACAGTTTGGTCCCTCTGTCAGAGTTGAGCCGGCGTTTACAGGGTTCTTGCACCATTTGAAAAGTCAAATTTAATGCTTTTTAAGACCTCAACAAATATAAATTTAAGACTTCAACTTTTGAAACAATTTCTTTGATAGAAAAGAGACGCGCGTTTGATCTCTTCACGCCATGTTTGGCAGTTTTATTTCCACCACAGGTGAATGACGTTACAGACTCTGAATCGGGGGAACACAGAGGCCGTTTACGCCTGGCGTTAAAATGCATTTTGGGTGATGAGATTGTGATCGGGTAGCACTTGAACACATGAGCAGTCGTAAGTAGGCCTACAGGTGTAAATGCACCTGAGACGCATTGAGGACAGATTGTGATCCGATCAGCAAAACGACCTCTGGAGGTGTTCAGGGGAAATATGTACCGCTCGCAAATAAAATAAATAACGTTAATTATCATGATACAATCTGCCTCAACAACAATATACAGATGTTCAATAAATATTTGATTTAATTCATTTGAATCAGCACTTTCTCTTTTCTATGAAGATGTTTATTGTGTTGCGGAAAAGGGACTGAAAAAAGATTTTACTTTATTTTTCTCATGCATATTTGTTGTTTTGAATGTTCTACCTCAGCTCTGTGAAGTGATCCACTGTTTGATACCAGGCTGCTTTTTGTCATGTTCTGACCATAAAGAAACATTTAAAAGCACAATTAACCATCTGGTTTCTTCAGGAGCAAAAAATCTGCCTTTAAACTTATAATAATAATAAAAACAATGATTAAACTCAATATAAACCTCTAAAATAACAGAAAAGAGCAACTTACACATTATAAAAAGATAGCAAGACCGAACTTAAGTTTCAGTTTCACTTTCTGGCCGAGCTCATACGCAGGCGCGCCGCTACAGAGAGGTAAATAATCCATGGAGAAAGACACACTTTAGAAAGTTATTTTAACCTGTAGCTGTAGAAAATCTGAGAGGAGGACGTGATGCAGGCTACAGTTTGAGCTAGACAGAACGATCGGATCTTCCTCCAACCACTTTAACATGCGTCTCCCAATCCCAACAAGCCACGACTGACGATACGATGACAGGCGGCCAGACGTCAACGTCTGCAGCTAACGTAAACGTAACATGAGTTATATTAACGGCGGGGTCTCGCATTGTCACTTACTAAAAGAAAACCATACAAATACACGCTAATTAGCCGTTTTAGGCGACTGTGCGTGACAATTTCCCCACCAGCCTTAAACGCACCATCGGCAAATTTAATACCTACAGCAAAGACCTTAATTTCCCTGATTTCAATTTAAGACCTTTTAAGAGTTTTTTCTCTCCACTCGGTGTCGCGGAGCCTTTACGATTTAAAGCGCGGTTATTAGTGAGACCCGGTAATCGTGCATCCCTGGATCAGTGCTGCTCTCATTAACAGGTCTGATGATGGTGGCGCGAACAGCTGAGGCCAACGCACAACAGGAATCTGACTCTTTGTGTTCAACATCTACAGAACGATTTCTTTATTTCCTGTCACTTCTCATGAAGGACGTCACTAATCGAGTAAAACAATAAAACTTCTTTCCTTCCGTCAGATTTATACAGCGTGTACACTGCGTGCTGTGAGTTCATCAACACTGGACATGCAGGATTCCTGTCTCACCGTACTGCTCCCCGTCGTCGGCCAAGTAAGGACTCTGATCCGGATAATCGGCAGGAACGCTGAGCTGCAGGGGAGGAACGCTGGGAAGGTTCTTATCATCTGAGGACAGGACAAACAGGACGACGTCAGAACATCCTGCCGATCTCGTCTGGAGACCTGAATCTGAAGCCGACCAACTCACCCAGCTTGCAGACGAGGTGCACGGTGCCGTTATTGCTGCAGAACGAAGGATCCAGGTTGACGAGGAACTTGACGTCGAGGCGAGCCACCTCCCCCTGCAGGATGTTGGGGATGGTCTGCCGCTCGTCCTCCTCGTGCTTCCTCTTCCTCCCGGAGACGTTGGGACCCCTGAAGAGGACATGAAACAGAAAGACCCTCAGTCCTGTGACTGTGTTTGTCTGCTGCTGACTATTTCACATCCACACTGGCCCCAAAACAGCGTGCTGGATATGAAGGAAGGGGTTCTGCAGAGAAACTAAAATCTGACAGGCCAAGAACTAAAGTCCTCGGCTGTGGCTTAACCCTGACCGTACCCGCTGGCCTCTGCAGAAACGTACGTGCAGATCCAGCTGCTTGGTTTTGTTTGTTTGATTAAGACTTTCGTTGAACAGATGACGAGACTTTCAGCGATGGCCGGATCAGGGAACATGGTTTCCAACAGCTCAACCCGAGTCTGCATTTCTTTTGTACAACTGATCTTTTGCTGTGGGCGCACATCCAAAACGCTGTGCGCAGGTTACAGGAGTAAACGGGGAGGAAAAAGTTCCTGTTTTTCTGGGACTTCAAACCCGTTTTCAAAAGTCTTTAAAAGAAACAAAAGCACTGTTCTCAAGCCAGATGTTATTAATCTTACCGATATTACATTACTGTTAGCAGAAATAATCTAAATGCTCATTGAAGACGTAGGCTACCTGTAGCGCCACGTTAGCTCACATTAGCTGGGTGTGTGCCGATAAGTTCGGACCGTTTGCATCAGAGTTTTTTGTTACAGCGTGATCAATACAGATTTTTCCCAGAAACACATTTAAAAGCAGGACCGAAGCTAACGCACCTTTATAAAAGTGAAGTTAACGTCACAATCCAACCAAATTTTAAGGCCTAAAATTGAGATAATCAGATTTTAGATTTGTAGAAACCCTGTGTGAGGCGAGGTTTCAGTTTTATTCTTTTTAAATCACAAACACATTTTGTTTTTTATCTCTTCATGCAGACAGTTTGGCTTTCCGTGGTCGAGACAGATAAATCTGTCGCCCAGATGTTTGGGATGTTTAAAAGACATTCAACACATTCGACAGAACACCGGACTGTGTGAGAGACGTACGTGATGGGGGGTCCGTGGATGGCGGTCATGGCGGGGGCGAAGGTTCGGTACAGAGAGTGGTTGAAGACCGGGGAGCGGATGTTGGCCATGACGGCGTCCAGCAGCGGCTGACACAGATACTGCTGTTTGGTGGGCGGAGGGGGAGGAGGGGTCGGCTGGAACAACAGGACAAACGGTTAATATTCAAAGTGCAACGAGCCGTCTGAACCCAAACTTTACAGACGGGAACTAAAAACCTCGTCAGGATAAAGACACAGACAGAGAGACGCTCTCACCACGGCCATGTCGTTCTTCAGCTTCTCTAAAGCGATTTCACACTTCTGCAGCGTCTTCAGAGGACACCTGCAGGTCAGAGGACACGCAGGGTCAAATCAAGAGACTCGGTGTGTCGGAGAGGAGCGAGGGCTTCAGTGATCAGCTGTTACCTGGTGTTTGGATCAGTCAGGATGTTCAGCAGACTCTTCATCTTACTCAGGTCCTTCTTCCTGTCTGTGAACACAAACGAAACTCAAACTAAGACAAAAAGACGTTAGAGAGACACAGACCAAGTGTCCTGTTCTGTCCGACCGCAGATTCAGTTTCCTGTCCTTCGTTATGATAAAATGGATCAGTCAGAGTTTCAGCTCTGACCTTCGTTCTTGTCGATCTTGTTGATCATCCTGCGCAGAGGTTCGATGTATTTGGACAGCTGCTTGAGTTTCTCCATGTACTGCTGGTCCTCCAGAGACGTGGCTCCAGCCGGACTCATCACTGAGCTGGGGTTACCTGCGGGACAGGTGAGGACGGGGGGGAAAGGGGGAGTGAAGGTATGAAGTTTGTTCAGGGAGGTCTGCATGACATCATAACTCCTCATTCATTCATTTTACGGAACATGTCTCCAGTGAAGAACTATAGACTGAATCAAAAAGGTGGACGTAGAATCCGGGTCTACACCTGGCCAGCAGGGGGCGACGTCTCTGAGAAACTGTTTCTACTTGTCAGCTGATTTATTCCCTCAGTAAACACTTTCCTGATGAGTTTATGGTCTCAGTCGCTAGTTTCAAGTCTTCTTCAACACAGCATGATGTTCATTTAGCAAATTATGGTCCCATTTAGAGGAACAGAGACCAGGAAGCAGGGGAGGCTTTAGGGCGGGGCTACAAGCTGACTGACAAGTCGCTACCATGGCGAGCTGTCAATCAGGATAGAGGCGACTCCGCTGTGTACATTTAACCTGCGCCGCTGAAAAAGCTTATTAAGATTTTTCAGTAGGTACATTTGGTTTTTAGCCTGTTTGTCGCTCGCTAAAATTAGCATCCAGGTTAATATCAAAAAACCAAGAGGGCGACGGCAGAAACGCCAAACTGGAGGCTTCAAACAGAAGTCCGCCAACACATGAATTCTATAAAAGTAATTTACAGATCATATTTACCCAGCTACACTCTGCGCTGATTCTATAAAAACGTTTTATAATCCTAATCCTTGTTTTCTTGTTGACAATTCTCTCGTTAATCTGAAGTTAATACAAAAAAAAAATGGTATTTTCTGGTTTTACACCAACCGAGAGAAAACATCCCTGAACTCCGGGTGTCGGGATAAACGATCTACATCAGCAAAGACGGAACGGCGCTGGACGAGGACTATGATGTACCTGTGATCTGCTGGAGTTTTACTTACCGGTCCTCCTTCCTTCTGCAGAACTGTGTTGTCTGTAACTCTGTCTCTTTTGATAAATAGAGATATTATGATTTGTTATCTTTTTGTTCCCCGTTTCCTCAGTTGATGGTCAAGGTGTCTGACCGTGGGTGTACCTGGCGTGTTGAGCGGTCCAGGAGACGGGACTCCATAGTTCTGGGGGGTTCGGGCGATGGCGGGGCTCTGTGAGGGCTGCGGGGACGGGCTGGGCTGGAAACCCCCCGGAGACGGAGTGGGACCGGAGCTGGAGACGGGAAGCGGGACAGATTTTAGAAACCTGCGTCACAGTCGGCTCTTCGGGCCAAAGATCAGCGAACACCTGTCCTACCTGGCCGAGTTGGGGGGCTGGGGTGACGGCTGGGGAGGGGGGGGCATCGGCTGCGGCGTCTGCACCTGCCCCGGGGACGGCGATGACATCATCGAATGCTGCTGCACCTGCTGAGGAAAGCGATTGGACAAGAAGAGAAAACAGATGAACCAAATCAGAGGAGGAGAGGCTGCAGAGTCGTTTTAATTTAACGCCAGTGACGAGATCACGTCAAGGCTGATTCTAACTATCGATAGGTGGCGTTTGGTTTTATAAGACATCATCTGGTCCTGTTTCTTGTTATCCATAGATCCGTGCTCATGTTCTTGGTGAACTGAACTTGAACCCATGCCCTGCTGCGTTGCCTCACTTAGTTCGCCTGAATCGCTCTAGGGTTGCGGTTCGCTTGTGGTGTGAAAGCAAACGAGCCAACCACGGGATTTTTTTGACAGCTGACGTGTGATGTGAGCATTATTTCCAAAGCTAAACTACTAATAAATCCATCTGCTGACTCCGTGAGATGTGTTCAGCGATCTGTGCAAGGCCTGTGTAGGCTGTGTGTGCAAATCATTTAGTAACCACGTAACAAGTAAGCTGTTATTAAAGGGGCCAGTCCTCTTTGTAGCCTACTGGAAGTTCAACGATCCCACAGTAATAAGCTCCGATTATTACTGACAAGACGCCTCGTCTTCGTCCTGTTTTTACGTCATTATTCATAATATTCGGTCAATTTGTGGTCTGAAATTACTAATCAAGCTTATTAATAACTTATTTCTTCTTGAGCTCTTTGCAATACAGATCAGTTAAAGTTCTGCGTAAACTTCTGTCAGTCACCGGAGTTTGATTTCCCCACGTGGGTCCCAATGATGCAGGACAAAAAACTCCAACGTTACCCGTCGGTCTGTGCAACGTCACGGTTCCTCCTCTTGGTTCGATTGTAAAACTGCAGGAAAGAAAGGTGTACGGCGGGAGTTTCACTTTCCGGGCGAGCGGTCGAGCGGTCGCATCGGCGCGGAGAGAGACAACATGGTGTATAATCCATGGTGGGAAACAAATCACGCTGGGAGGGGACGCTTCAGTTTCTATACAGGACCCGAGCAACTGATGGGAGGATGTGACGTTTGGTTGTTTGAGCCGGACAGAGTGGCGGTCAGGTGGTTATTTGACAGCGGCTGGAGAGGACGTTGGCGTTGTCGGTTTGCTGCTTCTCCTCGGATCTGAATCTCCCTCCTCGACCCTCTCAGGGCTGAGATATTATTGTTTTTATTCTGATTGTGAACGCATTTCACCGTGGACACTGAAGATGGTTACTGTCAGGTATAAATGTAATCAGGTAAAATTATAAGCCAGATTTTATCTGGATACAGGATTCATTCTAGTGGCAGGTGCAAACAGCCTCTTAGATGGAAAAAACAGATTTCCACACAATGAAATAAAAAGTGAGAGTCCTGCTCAGAGTTCAGGTATAAAATCCTCTCTCCTGATTGGCTGCTGACGGCTCTGTGAAGTTGGACGGCAGTGGGGGAGTTCGTACCAGCATCTAGTTTAGAAGTAGTTTAGTCGACTTCAGCGGCGTTCAGCACCGTCGTGCTGTTGGGATATACAGTGAGTGAGTGCACCCCTAACAGTTTTATAAATATCTGATTAAATCTTTTCATGTGACGACATTGAAGAAATGACACTTAGCTACAATGTAAATGACTCAACATGCAACACGATAACGACCCCAAACAAACCTCCGAGACGACCGCCGCCTCGTTAAAGAAGCTGAGGGTAAAGGTGACGGACTGGCCGAGCACGTCTCCAGACCTGAACCCTACCACTCACTACTTTACACTGGAGCAAAGTCATTTCTTCAGTGTCGTCACATGAAAAGATAAAAACAGATATTTACAAATATGTGAGGGGTGCACTCACTTTCATGAGATACTATATGATGCCTGAAAGGCAAAACCCAGGGGAGGAACCTGCATAATTCAAAATGATCAGTCAGAGGATTCGAACACTGTTCCCTCAGCCGACTGGAGCGGCAGCACACGGTGAGAAGCAAAGTGCGGACAGGACAGCGAGGGGTCAGAGGTCACACTGGGGGATAAATACCTGCTGTGTCATCGTCTGTCCTCCCACCGCAGCGGCGGCGGCGGCGGCGGCTGCGGCGGCGGCCGCAGCGGCAGCGTTTGGAGGAGGGATGGAGGGGTTCATGGGGGCTCGAGGCAGCCGGGGTGGAAGCTGCATCCCAGGACGAACCAACTTCAGAGGACACACAACAGGACAGGTGAGCAGAGGAGGCAGACGTACACTGCGGCACACACACAACCCTGACCGACAAACATCACAACGATGTAGACCGCCTAACCTAAACCTTAAAAAAGTCCTCTGAACCAGCGAGGAGCGGCCAAAATATCCTCGCTACGATGGTTTAAAAAGATAAACGCACTCCCTCTCACCGGGTTAGGATGGAGGCAGCTGCTCTGACAACAAAGCAGAACAGCTGAGTGATTTCTTCTGGTCTGTTCAGACTACGGCCAAAAATCTTATCAGGATTAAAAATATAACATCGTTCACTTTCAATAATTATCAGGATAAATGTCAAATAAATTTTGCTTTCAGGTTTACGGACTTTTGCTCCTGAGGGAAAGTTAATTGTGGTTTTAAACTTTTCTTTATGGTCAGAACAAAGACTTGATGCCAAACAGCGGATCACTTCACAAAGCTGAGGCAGAACATTCAGAACTAATGATGATAAAATCAACAAATATGCACGAGGAAAATTAAGTAAAATTTCCTCAAAATAAATATCTTAATAAAAACACTAAGTGCTGATTCATTCAAAAGTATTAAATCAAACATTTATTGAACATTTGTAATTTTGTTTTTGAAGAATTTATATTGTTATAGTTATTGTTTTATTGTCCAGCTCTAGTTCAGACAGAAAACAAGATTTACACAAATTTGAGCAGTTTGAAAAAAGCTGATTTACAAACTTATATTTGCACCGCTTGCCGTCTGAAGCGATTGCAGATTAAAGGAGACCTATTATTCTGCTTTTCCAGTCCTATATTGTTGTTCTGTGATTCCTGCAGCTTTGCATCATTCAAAGTTCAAAAAAATATTTTAATTTCTTATACTGGCTCTTCATGTAGGCCTTCATTTCCGCCTCTGTCTGAAACAAGCTGTAGATGCTCCTGTCTCTTTAAGGCCCCCCCCTCTCAAAGCCCACTGTCTACTGATTGGCCAAGACCTGAAGCATGTTACCAGGCTGTTGCTGGGCGGAACAGGCAGACTGAGCGTTGCTGTGGGAGCAAATGAGCATATATGGACCAGCGGCTCCGTCTGGCTCCGTGTGTCGTATTACATTGGTAGAAAAAGCTGTTCAATACAGAGCGTTCAGAACAGGAAGAAATCTTTGACCGTGTTTAACACAAACATCAACACTGTAACATTGTAGATAAGTCATAAAATGTGGAAAAGCACAATAGGTCTCCTTTAAAGATCGACTCCTCCCCACCTGCAGGAGGAGCAGAGCCTCTACTTCTAACAGGACCAAGACACAGACGGTTTATTATAATGTTCTGTTTCCATTTCTTTTCTTTGTGTTTAAAGACAACATTTACACTTCACACAGCTCACAGACAGTTAATAGAAACGAATAAAACACTAACTTCTAGGCTGCAGTCTCACCTGTCCGGGAACAGCGCCGGCGGCTGCAGCAGCTGCGTTGAGCTGCGCCTGTGCTGCGGCTTGCTGCGCTGCCTGCTGCGCCTGCTGCTGTTGCTGCTGCTGCTGCAAGGCTGCACGGGCCTGCTTTCACACACACACACAAAGCAAAGCATGCAAGCAGAAGGTTGGGTAAGCAGGACTACTGGAACCCTGCATGGTGACTGGCAGTCTGGATGGACAGGTTCGGGGATCTGGCTCTTGTTGAATCTCAGATCAGAGATGGAAAACTGAATCACACAGATTCAGATTTTCACCATCTTTTAAGTCTTTCTTAAAAAGGAATTCTGTACTACAAAGATTAACTTTGGAATAAACTTTCACGCGGAACGAGGTTTTGTCTCCCATCACTTACGTAGGAAGCAAATAAAGGAGGAACCTGTTAACGGCCAGTGTGAACGGGAGGAACTTGTTTTAAGACGCACTTGGAAATGTGCTGAACGTATCCTTTAATAGCACAAACTCACCAACTGCTTTAGTGTAAAGGGGGCGACTTTTAAAACATATGTTCACATATTAGGGGTGTGACGAGACACTTTACCCACGAGATCGAGACGAAACTATTTGCTGAATTTTATAAAACAGTATCAAACACTTTATTTTCTGCATTCTGAAGAATTTTTCTGCTGATTTTTTTTTTTTATTTAAAGAGAAACTTCAGCCCAACTATAACAGAATCTAAGTCAGTGCAGCTCTCAGATCTGTTTCTCCTGTAGATCAACTTATTTAATATCATCCCTGCGGAGTCATGATTTAGTCTTCTTGTCTCTTTGTGTCTTTGTTTGGAGAAGTAACCTCTTTAAATGTGACTGTGGCTCCTTTTCACCATAATGATAAATTCAGTTAGAAACTCCTGGACTTTAATAGCTCTTGTGTTTCAGCAGATTTTATGCTCATGTTCCAAACTTTCTGCACAGAGAAAAGGCAGAATATTACCAGACTGACGTCATCATTTAATGGGAAGTCTACCTGCCCTTTACTCTGCTGTGCATTATGTAATCGATCCACTGGTACTAGCGTTATCCCCTTCAGACCGTTTGACCGACGCAGTTAGGGACTGCACGCTGCACGTGAAACCGAAAGTAAATGAAACATTTCTGATCAGACAGAAATCTCAACACAAATCCACACACGTTAACTTCCAGTGCAGCTCGCAGTCCCAAACAGAGCAGGTTTTAGATGTTTATGTTGCAAAGCTCTACCAGCTACGTTACCACTCGTCACAGCTGGCTGGACCTGCCTGTATATAAAAAGGTCTGGACTCCAGCTGATTACTATCAGGGAGGAGTTGAGCTGCACCTCAGTATAACTTGTATAGCACTCAGGTGATGTTTGTGTTTGTAAAGCAGCTGTCTGGTTGTTGGTCTGTTGATGTTGTTGGTCTGATGTTTGCTATATGACACACTATGAATTTCAGAAAGGACCAATAAATATCTATAATCTATCAACGTACACAGATGAACCCGTTACCGGGGTGGCGGGGATAGGGGCGCCGCCGCCAAGCAAAAGTACTTCTTAAACGATGCATTTATGATCTATAGAAGCTTTGAGTACTAAAATCATTGCTAGCAGGGACCGCCCCATTCTTACCTGGAAGGCTTGTATCTTGAGCTGGTGGTGCTGCTGCTGCTGCTGCTGCTGACTGAGCGAGTTGATGGAAACGTGCTGAGCCGACGCCATCTGCCCGGCCAGGGACTGAGGCACCATGCCGGACGGCTGCTGCTGAGAGTGTGGAGGCATCTGCCCCGGCTGAGGCTGAGATTGGCCCTGAACCTGCTGCTGCTGCTGAACCATGTGCTGGATGGACTGAGCCTGGGCCTGAGCCTGGGCCTGGGCCTGAGCTTGAGCCTGAGCTTGGGCCTGAGCTTGAGCCTGAGCTTGGGCCTGCGCCTGGGCCTGGGCCTGGGCCTGAGCCTGAGCCTGAGCCTGGGCATGCTGGAGTTGCAGCATCTGCTGCTGCTGCTGCTGAATCCTTGTCTGGTGCATCTGCAGACAGTGTGGAAAGACAAGGTGTTCAGTAAGAGAAAAGAAATACCAACGAGAGAGTAAAGCTTGTAGCTGACACGAAGGCTAAACATCAGTCCCGCTGTAGATAATGAAGCAGGGCGCTTCCATATACCCATAAGTCCTCCTCCCCATCCTCCAGCTGCTCCTGTGGGATCTCAAGCCGTTCCCAGACCAGGAAGGACATGTAATCCCTTCAAAGTATTCCGGGTCTTCAAAGGGAGGCGTCTAGGAGGAAGACCTCAGTTGACTCCTTTCCCAATGAGGGATCAGTGGTTCTGCCCTGACCCCCTCCAGGATCTCTGAGCAAAGACAGCCAGCAAAGGAAACTAATTTCCGTCTGCCTGAATCCGCGATCTCATTCACCCAAAGGTCATGACCACAGGTGAGGGTTCGATTAGAAGTCGAGCAGTAAATTGAGTCTCGCCTTCAGTCCAAGTTCCATATTACTGCTGACACTGCACTAATGTGTCGATCATTTGCTTCATCTTACCCTCACTGAGGAACGAGACAGGTACTTCCTGTCCCAGTTTACAGTGGCGGTCACATTCGAAGAAGTCAGCTGAACTACCAACGTGTTCTCATCTCAGGGGTGTCAAATACTGATGCTTTCAGAAAGCCTGACAAAGCATAGGTTTTTGACGCAAAAGGTACCCTTCTGTGTCCGTATATAACGCTGTAGTTTGCTAATGAATAATTGGTGGAGGTCATGCGCAGCAACACAAAGGAGGTTAACTGCTCGACATGCGTACATGTCCCCCGTAAGGGGCTTTGGGGGCTGTCAACGCAATTAAGACTAATGTAGTTAGGTAGCTAGCTAAAGACTACGGTCCGGACATGTGCTTCTGGTCTACTCCTTTGAAGCACATTTTGCGATGCTTTGTCAGGCTTTATGAAAGCATCGGTATTTGATGCCCTGAGATGAGAACGGGCTTGAACTACATCATCATCCACCAAAAGCAGAGATCGTCATACTGACTCTCTACCAAGATGGCGCCAGGATTACGCGCCGGGATTACTAGTGCTTTTTGTGTTTTTGTTAATTAACGCTGTTTTCTGCCGTCCCTCTCTGGTAACTTTTACCAGAGAAGAGCTCTTAAACATTGGACTTTCTACTGCTCATACTATTCCACCGCTCTTTATTGACCCTGGAACTTTCCCGGAGTTATTAGTTGGAGGAGCGGCAGCTCTGTTTGGGATCGGAAACGTCGCAGGGGAAAAACGAGCAGGTGCGCTGGTTAAACTGAGACAGCGGGGATTTCGCACTGCGCTCCCTTCAATCTACCTGCCGAATGTCCGCTCTCTGGCCAACAAAATGGACGAACTGCTGCTCCTCAACAGAACTAACTCGGACTTCTGAAGATCTGCTGCCCTCTGTTTCCCAGAGTCCTGGCTCACCGAGCGCATCCCGGACAGGGCATCCCGGAACTGAATCTCATCCGTGCGGATCGCGAAAAGGAGCTCACGGTGGACCACTGCTAAACAACATTAAAGGACGCCTATCGCTCTGTTCCCCGTGCAGGACTCTCTGATCACTGTCTGGTTCATCTTATCCAGACACACAGGCAAAAACTGAAATCTGCTGTAAAGACTATGAAAAGATGGACCAACGAGTCAAAGCTGGACTTACAGGCCTGCTTTCCTCGTTCCTCAAAGCTAAATAACAGCTTTGCAGCCAACGACCCTGCATCAGTGTAGAGAAGCCTACGGAAACTCACAAACTACAAGAGACCATCCCCCAACACTGCTGGTACTCAACGACTGGCAGACGAGCTGAATAGTTTCTACTGTAAGTTTGAAAAGCCCAGTCACACCTCTCCAATGCCATCTTCAGTCACCTTCCCCCTCTGACCTTTTACCTGCACTCAAGATCTGTGAAGAAGACGTGAGCCACCTCTTCCAAAGGCAGAAGATCAGGAAGGCTCCTGGACCTGACGGTGTCTCACCATCCCCCATCTTCACTCAGATCTTCAACAAATCACTGGAGCTGTGTGAAGTTCCCTCCTGCTTCAAAAGCTCCACAGTCATCCCGGTCCCAGAAAAACCCTCCATCTCTGGTCTGAATGACTACAGGCCCGTCGCCCTGACATCTGTAGTCATGAAGTCCTTTGAAAGACTGGTGTTGGCCCACCTGAAGGACATTACAGGCCCCCTGCTGGACCCCGTGCAGTTTGCCTACAGGGCTAACTGGGATGCTGTCAACTTGGGACTGCATCACATCCTGCAACACCTCGACTCTCCAGGGACATATGCAAGGATCCTGTTCGTGGACTTGAGCTCGGCGTTCAACACCATCATCACGGACATCCTCAGCACCAAACTCACCCAGCTCACTGTGCCAGCCTCCACCTGTGGAGGATCGCAGACTTCCTGACTGACAGGAGTCAGCAGGTGAGGCTGGGGAACATCACATCCAGCACCTGGACTATCAGCACTGGCGCTCCCCAGGGGTGTGTGCTCTACCCACTGCTCTTCTCCCTCTACACCAACGACTGCACCTCAGGAGACCCATCAGTCAAACTCCTGAAGTTCGCTGACGACACAAAGGTCATCGGCCTCATCCAGGACAGTGATGAGTCGGCCTTCAGACGGGTACTTCCCGTCCTGAGTCAGCTCAACCTGCCTAAGGACCTGCTGATCCAGTTCTACACAGCCATCATCCAGTCTGTTCTCTGCACCTCCATCACTGTCTGGTTTGGATCTGCCACCAAAAAGGACAGGAGCAGACTACATAGGACAGTCAGGACTGCAGAAAAGATCATCGTTGCCAACCTGCCCTCCATTCAGGACTTCTACATTTCCAGAGTCAGGAAACGGGCAGGAAACATCACTGCAGATCCATCTCACCCCGGACACGACCTGTTCCAGCTCCTCCCCTCTGGGAGGCGCTACAGAGCACTGTACGCCAAAACCAACAGACTCAGGAACAGTTTCTTCCCACAATCCATCACTCTGATGAACAGCTGATTTCTGATTCACAGTGTCAGGAACAATTCCTGAGTAATAACCCAGTAACTCTGCCTCTAATCAGCACCTGTTTACTGGTTTCCACTTATTATTTATTTATTCACCATTCTCTATTTCAGAGCTGTTCATACTATGTCATATTGCAGAAACTGTATACCAATACACCTACCTCAGGTCATAAGGTCATATGTCTTATTTTTTTCCAGCATCCTTTGCACTATGCTCCATCACACTGTGTACATGTCTACATGTATGCATGTATGTGTACCTGTATATAATATCCACCTTCAACATGTACATAATGAGAATAATAGTTTACTCTTGCATCCTTTGCACTCTGATCACTGCACTATTTGTCAATATGTCTATATTGTTTTGTTCATAGTGTGTATATTAGTGTTGTCTATTCTGTAGTTTGTGTCTGATTTTATTTTATTATTATTTTATTATTGTGTTATTGTATTTTTGTATGAGTAAGCACATCGTGAGCAATGTACAATCCTGAGTCAAATTACTCATATGTGTACACATACCTGGCAATAAAGCGGATTCTGAATCTGATACTGCCTCAACCCAGTCATATAAGAACCGAATGGCTCATACTAACGACCCTGGGACTCCTGCAGAACGACCCCACAAGATACACCGGGGGAACAGACCTAGTTCGTTGTGTGTGACTAAAGCCCATGTAGACTAGATGGACATCTAGTCTACATGGGCTTTAGTCACATAGAACATCAGGATACCTCCAGGATACCCGCAAGAATTGCCCGGTCGAGCAAGTGGGTAAAAAATCTACTTGCCCGAAGTCAATTTACTTGCCCCTATCCCCCAAGTGGCACCACCCCAGACCCTCAGATTCAACGACGCAGGTGGGGAGCCCCATGTCACACCTTTGGTCTCAGCCTGACCTGACCAAATGGGTGTAGGCCCGGAAAGGACCTGGTCTTCCTATCTCAGGCGAGGCAGCTCAAACCTCTCCACTACGTTACGGTAGTGATTCTGCTCAGCTGCTACCAGCAGGTGTTAGCAGCTGGTTAGCAGAGCTTCGACGAGGACATTCACCAGTGGTCACGGTGTAATGCTGTATTCAACATGGTGTTAGCATGGCTGTATACCTGGTTCTGCTGCTGCTGGTTCTGGGCCTGCTGCTGCTGCTGCTGCTGGTTTTGGTGCTGCTGCTGAAGCTGCTGGTTCTGGTGGTGCTGCTGCTGCTGCAGCTGCTGCTGCTGCGCCTGCGCCTGCAGCTGCTGCACCCTCAGTTGCTGCTGCACTTGGAACTGCTGCTGCTGCTGCTGCTGCTGCTGCTGCATGGCATTCTGCTGCTGTTGCTGCTGCTGCTGCTGCTGGGCCTGCTGGAACTGCTGGAACTGGATGGACTGCTGCTGCTGCTGCGCCTGCACCATCTGCTGCATCGGCATCTGGCCTGGACCCCCTACTGCAGAGGGAGCAAGAAGAAGATGAAGGACAGACCCTGGCTACAGAACAGACCAGTCTGAGGAGGCCTCTGGAGTCTCAAACACACACAACGTGCCAAAGCGAAGACTGAAACTCAGACCAGGTCTGACGCCAAAATACGCAGCCAGCATCCACCAGCACTCTGAGGATGTGCATTTACACCAAACACACCACATGGAGGAAACACTCACTGGCTTGTGGGTTTCCAGCCACCCCCGCCATGGCATGCTGGCCTATCTGCATCTGCCCCATGGCCCCCATGCCACCCACTGGAGCACCGGTGGGGCGGGGCCCCATGCCAATGCCGCCGGGGCCCCCTCCAACCCCTGTCAGGTTAGTCAGGGCATTCATGGGATCTAGCAGAAGAGTAGACAACAGACAATATTACGCAGCTCCGACATGCACGGCAGAAATGATGAGCCCCAGGAGTCTGGTAGTAACAGGTCCAGCAGGGGACAGAACACAGCAAAGAAAAACCAGAATGAAAAGTGAACCAAACAGGGACAGAAAACTAAAACACTTACCTCCAAGTGCCTTCTTGTCTGTAAATAAGACACAAGTTATGAGTAACGTCTCCATTTAGGATTCAGATTATAACCTGATGTTGTGAGTCAGAGCCAGAGCGTTGCGTGTTCATGCTATTGGTCAGGTCAGATACTTACGGATGTCTCTGAAGTGTATGATCAGCCTCGCCACCAGAGATAAATACTCCTCCTGAGGGATAAACAGTGAGATTCATTACAACACGTTGAGAGCGTACACTACAAGCTTCCTGTGGTCTGAAAACCGTCCTGCAGTGATCCAGTACTTACTCTGGACTTGGCTTTGACGTAGACGTGGTTCTCCATGTCATTGCTCGACTTGGAGTGTGCAGTTCCTGCCTTTCTCATCGCCTCTTCACTGGAAGGAAACATCAGAATCACACCGATCAACACACTCAAACAGCTTCTAGTTCAAAGGAATCTTTAGGGTGAACGAACTGAGCTGATTAACTTCCTGAAACGACCCGTCAGGTGTGAGCGAACGTGCAGAGCGAGTGATTCCAGTCATTGGTTCAAAGGGCGAACTGGCTGCGTTCAAGACAGCAAAGCTGATTCAGGCTGCTAACATTTAGCAGCAGTGATCCAACAGCAGTGGTCTTGGACTGCAATCCAGATATAGGACCTTGTGTAGAGCGATATTATATGCAGTGGGCTAACACACACACATAACGTTACTGCTTTGAGGACAGCCACAAAGAAGCCATTTACCGCCACATATTGATTTTCCGAGAGTGTCCAGTAAAGTAAATGACATGTGTCCATTTACTTTTAACGGAAGTAATGTAACATGTAATGTGTTTTATACTTTCTGTGAATATGATCCAATGAATCTTATTTCCATCCCGTACAGACGCCTTACTTTGAATGTGGTCTTTTGACTCATTAGGCCGAACACCGAAAGTGCTTTTTTTGATATTTTCGGCTGACTAATTTCGGTGGCCGAACATTCGGTGCATCCTTATCCTTTATTGACATTTCATAGCCCAAACAACATTTTGATCAATCGGGAAGATAACCGCCAGATTAGGGCTGGGCAATAAAACAATAACGATTATTATCGTGTTATAATTTGCCTCAATAACAAAATAAATGTTCAGGAAATATTTGACTTAATTCATTTGAATCCCAACCGAATCAGAACTTTTCAAAGAATTTTTTTTCTCTTAAGATATTTATTTTTGTTGATCAAAAAGATTTAACTTAGTTTGTCTTGTGCGTATTTGTTGAAAACAGATTTTATCATTAATAGCTCTGGATGTTCTGCTTCAGATCTGTGAAGCGATCCACTGTTTGGAATCAAGTGTTCGTTCTGACCAGAAAGAAAAGTTTAAAACCAGAACTAACTTTCATTCAGGAGCAAAAAGAAAGAAATAATGATTTGACGTTTATCCTGATAATTATAGATACTGAATATCACTTGTTTTTATATATATAATATATTTGTATTAACATTTTTGGCCACATCGCTCAGACCTACACCAGATTACTGGATCATGAAAACAATAGGTTTTAGCCCTAATACTATTACATCTAATTTAATTAATATATTAAGCATCTTTGTTCTATTAGGATGAATAAAATGTTGGCAAAACAAACTTAGCCCATCCCTGTGGACTACATAATAACTGCAATGTATCTGATACACATATATTAAATAATGTAGAGTCGCGATATTGCACAACATGTTGTATTTTAGAAATACAAGTATAAATATTAATATTTAGGGACAACACTAATATTTGTTATGATAAACTGTAATATTATTATATGTAGAAGTCAAAAACGTAACGTGTTTAGTAAATAATACGATACATAATGTGTTAGTTTGTTTGACATTAATAGAGAAGGGAAATTAAATCACACATATCCACAAAATAACACTGAGGATAAATGTTAATCTCTCATTAACAGAATTAAGGAGCGATGCTAAAAACAGACTGAACTCGCTGTGTGAACTAACGTTAGCAGCTATTTATGCTAATAATGAAATTTAATATAATTTTCCATTAAGAGTTATTTTGTTATTTTTATGCGCGCCGAATTAAAGAGTGGCCCCAAACGTGTCGGCACATGTTATCGGATATATTCACGGACCTTCGTTAACTTTGTTTTTTTATAAGTTTGTCTTAATTTACCGATTTTTTCAAGGCCGGTTGGCCGTCACGCTCTGTGCTGCCGCGCTAACGTTAGCTTAGCTCATTAGGATAACGCACCAGAACCAGAACCAGGGATGTAACATCTAGCCCCAAAACACAAACCCGAACACCAACATCTCACATCTGAGCGACGACTTTCTGTCGGAACTGAGGGCTCCTCCAGTCGCTGTCCGGTCCGGGGACTTCCATAACAGAAATTATGTTTTTCAGGAGGATTTTCACTTGAAGAGTTTTAATGTTTTCCCTCTGCGCTTCCTCCTTCCGCTCAGGGGAAAATGGCGACCTCTGTGTTTGTGTCAGTAAACGTTACCGCCGCCTGCTGGACGGAGCGCGGAACTGCCCTCTGCCGCGAGAACACGCTGTTTATTTCTTTAATTAGTCATGATGGACTTTATTTATTTACAACAACGAGGCTTCATTAAAACATTAAAGTTAAAAGTCAAAGTTCACTGCAGGGCCCACAAAGAACCTGTTTATTTATTTAATTAGTCTGCTCGTGATGCTCTTTCAGGTTCTGTTGCGTTATCAGTCAATATGTTCATGTTTATTGTGAAGATGAAACCATATTATCATCTTGGTGCTGCTGTTTATATTCTCCCCAGATGCAAATTTTAAAAATGCTCTGCAGAACATTCTGGGTGTAAATGTGTATTTATGTACATGCATTACTGCATTGTTTTATTTTATATTTTACCATATTTTAATATACACTTAATTATATGTTGTGTGTGTAGCATGAAGGGACTACAAGTTTTGTACCTTTCTTTGTAACAACAAGGTCATTAAAACGTAAAAATAACATCTAAGCTTTAACATGAGTTTACTCGCTGAAGTCCATTCAAGTTTAAATTGAAGGATGACAGCAGGTTTGTTTGGAGCCATTTCCATTTAGATCTGTGGAGAGAGAATTTACTCCGAACCATCAGCAGCTGAGTGACGGAGGAAATATTCACTTTCATTTCTCATTCACTGACTCAGACTGTTAACTGTGTCGTCATCCTTCTCTTCTCTCACTTCTAGTATTAGTATAAATATATACTGAATGCACTCATCGTGCAGAATGGACAATTTCAGAATAATATTTATTAGCTATATTATTGGATTATGATTATTTAATCACATTAATGCTGCGGCTGGTAAACACGGGGCTGATGACATCATCGGCCTGTGCTGATCTGGTTTTACTTTCACTTTCAAAGATCAGTTTGAAGTCAGACAGAAAATCATCAGCAGTTCAGGGAAAGTTAATTCACAGTGTTGAGCGACCGATCTGATGTTTATTAATTACTTACTGTTGCTGTCTGAAACGCACTTTCAGATTTGTAAAACCCTTTATTATTATATTTGTGAAGATACTATAATACTATAATAAGAGTGATTTCACTGCTCTTTTCACACGTAGACCACATTGGACCAGGCCCAGATCCAAAACCACTTTATCTAGACTTGTCAAATCAGGACTAGATTATCCTGGAGAGGCAAAAGTTTCTTTAAAACACAGTTTCAAATTTTTGAAACCTACATAGGAAACACAGAAGGGGTTCCAACACCGATTTCCCCTTTATAAAGCTCCACCAAATTGAAAGTTGTCACAGGAGGCGCAACTCCTTGTCCCGCCCCTTAACGCCCATGGTTGCCTATTCATAGTCAGTGAAATGCCCCTCATTAATATTAATACAAAGTGAGAGCATAAAACACATGCCTCTGGTGTGAGAGACCTGGGTTCGATTCCCACTGTGACACATCCACCATTGTGTCCCGCAGCAAGACACTTAACCCCTCGTTGCTCCAGAGGCGTGCGACCTCTGACACAAAAATAGAAATTGTAAGTCGCTTTGGATGAAAATGGATAAAAATGAATAAATGTAATGAAACTACGCACTGGCAGTTCCCCAGTTCATGTTTGTGCTCATGGGTCAGAGTTTGTAAATGAGGCCCAGGGCTGCATCAGAAAAGCCAAATAAATCTCCTTTCCTCGACTGCAATGGAAAACGTCATGAAGTGAAGGAGAATCTCACAAACTACTACAAGAAACACATATATGTGTACTAATTAATAATACAATTGATATACACTTATAAGACCAAGACTAAAACATTTCATTAAGTGCAATAAGTCATATTAACCCACTGCATCTCAAGTAAAAGCCCAGGCTACCTCAGAGGAATTACTTTACAGCTAATAATGTTACATAAGAGTTTTTGAATGGTTCAAGGCTCTCTCTGTTCTAACTTCATAAAAGTGAACTAGTCATTCTCTTTGGTTTTGCTGCGTCTTATACCATCAACTACTTTAAGTCCACTATACAGACAAATGAAAGGAACTTTACTTTTGCAGACTTAGGCCTATATAATATTCACACTTTCTGTTAAACACATATAAAACACACTATTTTATACAAAGAATGTTGGCCTATGTTACTTGGTGATTTGTTTATACTAAAACAAATCCATTTCTTTTAATACACCCTTTTTTAAATATGGTTTTACATTTATATTTAGTGAAAGATGTTTTGTGGGTTGCGCGGTGGTGCAGTGGTTAGCACTGTCGCCTCGCAGCAAGAAGGTCGTGGGTTCAAACCGGCCTTTCTGCAAGTTCTCTCCGGCTTCCTCCCACCGTCCAAAAACATGTGGTCTAGGTTAATTGGTGACCTTAAATGTGAGTGGTTGTTTGTCTATGTGTGGCCCTGCGATGGACTGGCGACCTGTCCAGGGTGTACCCCGATGCCAACTGGGATTGGCTCCAGCCCCCCGCGACCCTGTACGCAGGATAAGCGGCTGGCGATGGATGGAAATATGTTTACTTTCAAAACAGACAGACAGGCTGCTGACATTGGGCCATGTGGCTTGTTGCAGCCATGATAACATCTTGTACGCCGGCTAGCCACAACCATATAAGCATAGTTTGTTAGTGTTAATTGCTGAAAGATGAAATGTATGCAAGTTTAGATTTGCCGTCATCTAAACTTTAGACACCAGAAGAAAAATACTGCACATCCAAAAAGTTACTTTCATACCTCAAAATCAGTGTTTTGTTTAAAACTTCTGCTGAGGTGAAATAATCCTGCTCCTGCAGAGAGAATCCTATTGAGCACGTGCAGATTAAGTGTCATCACTCTAGCTTGTTTCTGACTAGAGAAATTGAGTGTGTTACAATTGCCCCCGGTCTCCCCTAATGCAGGCCGTCTAAAGGTGACAACACGGTGGAAAATATCACTTTATAACCAAGATAGCAAAAAAGCAGATAAGGTTCCTACCAGTCACTAAATAACGGACAGGGTTGTCACATTGAGATGCTCACACTCACCCTCCTGCCCACCCACAGGATTATTCATCAACATGAATCCCAATTGTATGTAAATACAGTGTTTCCCACAGAATGACTGTGCCGAGAGAGAGAGAGAGACGGGGCGAGAGGAGATGCTGAGAGAATATTATATCAAATACGATTTTACTCATTTTAAATAGTAACAAAATCAATGGAAAATCAGCGTTGATAATGTGGCAGGCCGCCACAAATAAATCAGTGTGTGGGAAACGCCCACTGTAGAGGTCATCCAGCAGGATCTTTGCCTTTATGAAGGCGAGGGAGTCAGCATCTGTGACTGAAGTATTAATTTATTTACTGAAGGCTGCAGTAGCTGCAACATTATCCTCACTTTGATCACGTTACAAGACCAGTAACAGCTCCATGGGTCTCAGTTATTGTTGACAGTTTAAGATATATGCATATTAGAAAGTTATGGCAAAAGAGAGAAAAGGCTTAATAGCCAATGGTAACTACATGGTGATCGACCTCCTTTATCCGTCATGGTTAGTGATTTATTATTTTTTATTGTAGAAAACACTTAATGACTTATTTCAACAACCCGAAACATAAAACGGTGCTGAAACAGTATTAGATTACAAAAAAGCCAACAGAAAGGTAATTGTGAGTCTTATTAAAGTATCATAATGTGCGTCTGTATTGCAGGATTTTCTAAATGTGGTTGATGGATTTTATTGTTTGAGTTTGAGAACGTGCGTCACTTTAAATGTTGCCGCCGCAAGGAATTGTGGGACGGCATTCTCTTCTTTCCTTCGTAAAGGATGGTCCGGTGTACCCTATGCTAAAGGAGATGTGAAAGGAAGCATTGAGGCACCTTTCCTCAGCTTTTAGAGAATTCGAACAGCTCTTATCATGGCTGCCACTGAAATACTTCCGGTTCACTTCACTCAGTCAGAACTTTCCTAAGCAAACAAGACCTGTCAGACGCAGCCCTGGTCTTCTGCAGAAAGTTTTCTACAAAGCCCACATCGTTTGCTGGAAACCTCCACAGCCCGAAATGATCACTGGTCAGAACAGGTCTTTGCTCTTCTCACTGATCACACTCTGTCTCTTCCTGTTTGGATCATTTGACCAATAAAGCTTATTTTGGATGTTGCATGTAGTTTTTCAGTCAGAACTTCTCGGCTTTTTTCTCTTGGTTTCCGAGCCGTTCTGAATTCCTGCGTGTTGTTAATCGAACGGCTGCAGCAGCTGGAGGCAGTTTGTCCACACAGTCTGTCAGCAGGGAGATGAACCTCCTCTCAGTTCAATCAGTTCAATTCAAAGAACCTTATTTATCCGTATTTGTGCTGAGCAACAGTGTGTGTACGGTTCCACAAACACAACCCAATATGCTGCACACACACAGAGACACATTACATATGGGTAATAAACAGTTCTAAGTAAATAAGTAAAGTTTCCAAAGTACAATAAATACATGATAATTAGGCAGTAAACCTTAAAAAGATTGAGTTAAAAATAGATAAATAAAGAAATAATATAAATCACCAATCTGGACACAAACATAGATGAATAAGTTAATCAAACATTCATGTTTCCATCAGAAACTCTCTTAGTCCTGAGAGTAGAAGACTGTGAGTGTGTCTGAGGCTATTTGTGTTCCTTTTAGTTCAGCCCTCCTGTTGTAAATACTGATGAGGGGTTCCTGCACCTGCTCGATTATTTTACTGCTCTTTGTTATGATTTTGTTTAGTATGTTTCGATGGAGTGATCCAAACCAGGCTGATATATTTAAAGTTATTAGAGATTCAATAAAACCTTTTGTAAAAAGCTCTCAGGTCTGACTGGTGAACCTGCTGCTGACATTTGGAGAAAATGTTTTCACTGTTTGGTTGGAAGGTAAGTGTGTGATTAATTATTGTCCCGAGGTATCTGTATGATTCAACCCTTTTCTATTGGCTGGTTGTTGCTTAACAGAGGGTATTGAGGTCAAGACACCACTCTGCAAAG